AACAACTTTTTATATCTATTTGCTCGTTACACAAGATTATTCCTACCTCCCGACCCGTTCTGTGGACCGTGGCACCAAGCTTCTACCATACAACTTTAAGGCTTCGAGTTGCTTGCTCTCTAGAAATTTGCATTTCGGGGTGTGGTTTGGTTTCAACACTGGGCGCTGATCTCTACCTGTCGTTCACGGCTGATTTCTCTCGCCGTCCGTGGCTGCAACTAACTCTCTCTTCAGAGTCTGAATTATTGTTCACTCATCTCTGCCGTCAGTGCGCGAATTAACTTCTTCTCTTTGGCTTCGGTTGGACGAGCTTATTCACTTCGGCTTGGGTTGGACGAATTTCTCTTCTTAGGCTTGGTTTGATTCCAACTTCTCCACTTAGGCCAAACGGGCTGCTTCACTTCGGCTTCTCTTGCCCGCAAGGGGGCGAATGAACCGGGCCCGCCGCCCGCGCTCAAACTCCCTCGCCGTCCGCGGCGCAACTGCAACTCTCCACTTAGGCCAAACGGACCGGCCTTTCTTGCCCGCAAAGGGGCGAATGAACCGGGCCCGCAGCCCGCGCTCAAACTCCCTCTTCATCCGAGGCGCAGCTCCAACTTCATCCGCGGCGCAACTGCAACTGATTTCAGTCGGTTAGGGTTCTGCTTTTATTGAGGCAGTCAAAAACTGGGGTGGGTCTGTCGGCGCCAGGGTTTTCTTGATAATTCTAAAGACGTATTATTTCTGATTAGGGATTTTCCATTGTCGGTTCACTCCTACTTCCTTACTGTGCCTCTGGGGGGGGGGCGTATACCCGCTTCCCCTGGTCCTTCGTATGTCAGGTGACCGCTCTCGACCAATGGGGTCCTGGTCGGGTGTCTCTCCTCCTCCCTCATATATCACGTGACCGCTCTCGTCCAATGGGGTCCTGGTCGGGTGTCTCTCCTCCTCCCTCATGTATCACGTGACCGCCCTCGGCCAATGAGACGCTGGTCGGTATCTTTCCTCCTTCCTTCGTGACGTCTCTAATCGGGCGTGGACAATCCGTGGCTTTGTTCTGGGGGAAGAAACACCTTGCTAAAAAAAACAAAATTTAAATTGCCCTTTTCGTACCAGATCGAATGACGCTATCGGTTTCTTTTACACGCGGTATCTGTCAAAACAGCCTATCGCTAATTGGATACGATCTAAGAAAAGAATTTCTTAGACCTGTCGGCGTCTCTCTGAACGCAACAAAATATTTCATTCTCCTCCCGCCGATAATAAAATCTGTATTATCTCAAAAAGCGACATCACCTTGGGTAGTTGTACTTTCAATTCTGGTATTGTCTGGGTTCTTGTATTAATGCTTTGTTTTCATATCCTTAGATACACTTCCCCATCTGTTACCTATCATCTCAATGACACCCTTTTCATTTGTTACTTATCAATATTTCTTTTTTCATTGTCCCTAAAATTTTATTTCTTCAACCAAATTGATAACAAACTTCTATTTTTCGTGGACACCGAAGTAGGTCAGGTGCTTGACCTGATATTTTTGACATCTGATATGTGCCAGTCGAGCGTGTGTGTTTTCGCTTACGACCTGGTTTCGTATTATTTATTTTTCTCTTTTCTTTCTTTCTTTCTTTTTCTCTTCCTTTCTTTCTTTCTCCCAGATCGTCTGAACGCAATTAAAGAATTATTCTCAACCCCGAAATATTTTTCTGCTCTAAATAATTATCAAATGGTTAACAAACCGAAAAAACAAATCATATATTTATGAATATCTCTTTTCAGTTTTCTAATTATGCATGGTGCCACAATAATATTGCTTAAGTCAGTCATTATCTGCAGAACATTATCTAGATCAGTGGTACTGAACCTTTTTACCTAATGCACCAATTTCACGGTAAGTCAGAATGTCGTTCCCCTACTTTTCCAAGATTGTCCGACTCAAAAAGTGTATTTCATATTAGTAAATATACAGGCATCCTTTTATTAATGCCTTTTCAATTAGTGCACTAAAATTTTTATCTGCCAAAATTTGATTAGTGTATACATAATACTCGATTAGTGTGGTAGAACATTCTTCAGTTTAACCATATTAATTGAAAATTGATTTTTTTATAGTTACTGATTTACAAACACTAATCAAGAGAAGCTTTTATAGAGAAGCTTTACAAATTTAATAGCAATAAAAAATATTGATGGATTTTAAACTTGAATATGTGTTCAGTAATTTCTCTTAATTCATGACTAATTATTAAATAAATAAACCGAAGCATAAAAAAAGTTCAATAAAAAGTCAGGATATTTAAATTGATTTTATTCTGATGAAGATTACAATCAATGAAAAACTTGTAAAATATTCCCCTCCTCCCCCAAATCCTGAAATCCCCGTGACCTTACCTGCGCCTATGTAATGTATATGTGTATGTCTGTGTTATGTGTGAGTGACTTGTATGTGTTTCTTCCATTTAATGAATGCACAATTTCCCTTTCATCCAGTCTGTACAAACCATACCCTGGGAAGAGGAGGAGGAGGATGAGGATGAGGATGATGGTGTTTTTTGTTGCGACAGGACTGGGATTAATCTCACACAAATCAAGGTGGGACCTGCCTGACAGAGGATCTCAGTTTACTTCTCTACCTGTCACTCGTATTAGCGAGTTCTAAGTGCAATTTATCCTTGACTATCCTTCCGGAAAAAAATCCTCCCAAGTCAACTTAGGCCGTTCTCTTCCTCTACTGCCATCAACTGTTTGATAGGCCCATCACTGCACTCAACAACATGACCAGCTCAGCATAGTCTAAGGCTATGCAGCAGTGAATCAAGGTCATTAAGGCCTAGTTTCTCAAGAAGTGAGTCTGACTTGACCTTCTCCTCAGTGGACACACAACTTATCTAGCATTATCAGGGCTGAGGAATAAAAACATAAATTAGAAGAAAGACAATAAAAGATAACACATTAATGCTTTTAAACCTGAAAATACTGGATTTTATTGAACTTTTTGAAAATTATTCTCTAATAGATAGAATGAATTTTAAAGATTTTTTCAAATTTTGTAGAAATATTTTTATGCCTGACATTGAATTAAAATATAGAAGTGTACATGCAAACATACATCCACACACAATTTGAATTAAATTGAAATGGTCATATGTGCTGCAAGGGTCAATGTTCCTTTCAGTCTGGCCACAGATATTGGGTAACAGGAAAATAGTATAAGCTGACTCTTTGAAGTCATTTTTATGACTACTTCTGCATTTAAACTGAATATATTTTCTAATAAATGTAGTATTTTAAATGGACAAACAAATTAGATTTGAACTTTGATCAAAGCAAAGCAAAGCAACAGGGACCAAATTAGTATCAAGAACACACTTTATATTTGGGATATTAGAATATGCAAGGAGAATTAAAGAAATGTATACAAGAGTAAGCAAAACATTGCAGACTAGCAGTAGAGCCCGGCGTTGCCCGGGGATGTAACAGTAAGAGATAGATCAAGTATCGACCATCATAAAGACTGAAAAATAAAATTGACAAAGATTATTGTTTAAGGTTGACGGACACGCATGTCTTAATTAGTTTTATTTTTTATTTTATTTTTTTTTTACAAAATGGTCAAACCCAAACTCAAACAAAAATATTGTTTTCAATCGTTATGAGTCTACCGATTGAATAGAATTTTATTTTAAACAATTGTCTTGTAAATTAAATTTTTAAAGCACTCTGAATGTAAAAATAAAGAAAAAAGTGTGCAAGACAATAAGAAACACTACCTGCCAAAAAAAAAGTGAAGTTTTGTTGAAATCGGTTGAAAAATGTAGGAAATCCGATCCCATATATAAACACACACACACACACACACACACACACACACACACACACACACACACACACACACAACCAACCTGGGTTTTATAATAAGTATAATTCGATAACTCGATATTAATAAGTATAACTTGATACGAGTTGTCCCCCTTTCATTAATGCCTCTTAATCGTGTTTTCAAATTGTTTTCGTGCAAAAACAATTGTATTTTTCCAATTTTTGGCGCTGTCAGAACCATCGCAAGGTAATTTTACATAGTCCTGAGAAGTTTTGTTGAAATCGGTTGAAAAATGTAGGAAATCCGATCCAATATATAAACGTACAGACACACACACACACACAACGCACAATCTGCGTTTTATAATAAGTAAGATTCTATATCAATGGAAAGTTTAAATATTTCTTTCTTTTTCTGGTCTTTATTTTAAAACAGTTGATGAATGCAGAACTGAATCTGAGTTACCTCCCTTGATGAGCAAACCTGACTCCAAAAGTGCCAGTTACAACTCTGGAAACCATTACCATCATCTTCATGGCGGTAGATGTGGTTTTAATTTTCTGAATTTTTGGATTAGCATTTCTTTCATCTGAATTTTAATTAAATTTATTGCAGGAAATCAGATCATCTTGTATTTGTTTAACTTTATTGGTTGGGATCAACTTTAGAGATGATAGCAGAAGTGATGAATGGAGTTATGCACATATATCACTCAGTAGAGACTCAGTTCTAAGTGGAAAATGGTACCCCAGAGAATTTATGAGCAAAGCATTCTGCTTTATCAGTAGAAGAAGGTAACATTTCAAATTGTGTAAAAAGAGGAGGGATTGAGGACTTGCCCATAATTAACATGCTACTACTAAGCCAACAGTAGTCATGAGAAACAAACTTGTCAGAAGTGATAGGGTGCCTCATTCTGTTAGATTTATCTCGGAGACCAATTTTTAATCACAGAGGTCCTTACTGAAAAGTTAAGCTCAATTAAGCTTTTTAAGAAAGGCAAAACTCTTTTGGGGATTTTTTAGTGTCATACATCAGCAAATTTATATTTTCATACCAAAAGCTAAAAAAATCGGTTTAAGCAATTGATGGATTTTTTTATATGAATTTTTGATATGATTTTACCCATATTACTATTAGGAGGATATTTACTCAAGCATATGTACTGACTAAAATAATGTTTATAGTAATAAGAACTAAATAATTTGCAACATTAAATCTGTACATTGAAATAAGGGAAAAAGGGATTGTCAGTGGTTGGGAATCTATGAAGGCTTTACTGGCAAATTTGGGCTATTTCATTTGCAATAGATAAGTAGTTAAAGTAGAAATACATTGAAAATCAAGAAGAAAGGGATTGTCAGTAGTCAAGAATTAATCAAAGTATTACTGGCAAAATTGTGCTATTTATCAATAAAAAATTAACAGTTACTATAGAAATGAATTAAAATTTGGAAGAAAAGGATTGTCAGTGGTCAGAAATTGATACAGGCATTACTGATAAAATTGGGCTATTTTATGTACAATAGATAAACATTTACTATCAAAATACATAGAAAAACAAGAGGAAATAAATTGTCTGTGGTTAGGAATTAATGTGGGCAATACTAACAGAATTGGTCTATTTCATTTTCTACATAATAAATGCGAATGTCAGTGTGTCACACTTTTTCATATTTACTCCTAAAGGCTGTAGCCCAACATATCAATCCATTTTGGAATCAGGCCAATTCCCTGATCAAAATTAAAAACATTCTGTTCCACAATCCTGAAATTTGGGATTCCCAAGTTTTCATTACTGCAATTGTTTTCAGTAATTTTTTAACAAATTTTTTTTTGTATGATAACAGTTTTTATAACTTGGAAATAAATTTGAGAATAATCAAAATTAATTACAAAATTCATGAAAGTAAGGACCTACATACATCAAATTGCCTTTAAATTAAGTGGCAGCAGGAGAGTTATCATTGAAGTTTTAGAAGGTAAGCTTAAATATTAATGCATTGCTTAAATGCAACGATCAATTTTGATTTCTTCTGTAGTTTATTGTTGCCTATCACATTGTTATACTGGAACACACCTATTCTATAGTTAAAAGACTCTCCCACCTATAATAAGTAGGAGTAGTAGCAGTCGCTAAGTCGCTCAGTGAGTTGGTCAGTCAGTCGATGTCAGATGACCGTTAGTCGGATATTAAAGTATCAGCCACCACAACTAGATTTCTCTGCATCATTACCTATTATATCAAGTTCCTAACGTTTTGTATGTCGAACCTTTTTAGGACCGACTTAGTACAAATACAAGCCTCCACTGTGAAACTACTCTACAATGCACATCTACTCCACCCTACCTATTTTGATGAAGGCCAAATCATGAGCCCTCCTCAGGAGCTAGTTTAAATACTGATAATCTAGTTAATAGATAAAGGAATATAGAAATGCATTCAGGAAGAAAGGGATTGTCAGTGGTCAGGAATTAATGCAGGTTTTTACTGATTGAATTGGACTTGTATCACTTTATGATTAAGGTAATCAATATCTAAGGGTGACTTTGAAACTAGAGGATGCAGTCCATGATGGCCTTTAATGGTTACAAATGAAATATGGGAAAATAATAAAATCAGTAAATAATGACATATTTCAAACTTATTTATTTGTAAATTAATATTCTTTGAATCAATATTCAATTCTTTGTTTCTTTTTGGCAAATTCATTGATCACTTTGTTGTAGAAAGTATCATCACAAGGCTTTATCTTCATCTTCTTCAAAAGGACGAAGTAGTTAACTCTGTTGATTTTGATTTCCTCCTTCTATTCTCAATCACTGAAACTTAACACCTAAACCTTATTTCACTCAATTCTCCAACTTTCTCTGTGCTTGTGAATACAACTGGCATAGGAGTGATATACAGAAGAAGAGAACTTCTCTGCTTACACTAATCTACTAAATGAGTGTTTGTAGGCAATTTATCTTAAGAAATGAAAGAATGAGAGATTTTAAAAAAATATCATTAATTATTGATAATTTTTACTGTCCTCCTTAGGATAGTAAAAATTATCAATTTTTATCAAGATATCTAGTGTATGCTTGCATACATGAACCCTCTGTTATTGAAAGTAATTCTAATGCTGATTTTATAAGCATAGCTTAGATGTGGCACAAGGCTGAAAATATGGGGTACCCAGTAAGGCTCAAACTCACTATTCAGTTGTAATAGATCTAGAGAGAAAAGCCCAAAATAACGTGGTACAAAGCTGAATGTATGGAGCATTCAGTAAGAATTGAACTCATTACTCAATTGTAATTGATCGAGCAAGACAAGCTTGCTAACCATTACCCCATGTCAAAGTGTCCTAAAATGATTTTTTAAGTATACCTTCAATTTGACACAAGGGTGAATGTGTTGAGCACCCAGTAAGAATCCAACTTGCTATTCAAGTGGCAATTGATCTAGCAAGACAAGTTTGCTAACCATTACATTTTGTCAAAGTGTCCTGAAATGATTTTCTATGCATAGCATATATGTGGCACCAGGATGAAAGTATGGAGCACTCAGTGAGGATAAAACTCATTACTCAGTTGTAATTGATCTAAGCTTGCTAACCATTACACTACATCAAGTGTCCCTGAAAGTAATCCTAATGAATGATCTAAAAAAGTGTCTGTATCTTGGATAAAAATTTCAATGAAGATCCCATGTAAATAAACAATGAATACACTGAATGGTTTTTTTCTTCTATTCTTTAGGAATTTCAATAGATTTAAACACAATGAAACCAATTGCACCAAAGAAAGACATCATTGAATCTTACAATAAAATAAAGACAACGGCAATGGCACATTTGGACAAAATGCTTTGCCCAGACCAACCTTTAATGGACAATAATGTTATTCCTGTTCAGGAGATTGCTGGGAAAAGGTAGCTTTTATTGCTTGATATTGTTACTTTCTCTCTCTTCTTTGTTCCCTCTCCCCCCCTCTCTCTCTATGTTCATCTTTTCCTTTCACTCTTGTTTCCTTCTTTTACTCCTGTCCTCTTTATTTCTTTTTGTGTCTCTTCTTTTCTTCTCTTGCCGTCTATCTTGTTTTATCTTTCTTCCTTATTTCCTCACCACTCTCTCTCTCCAGCTCAATACCTTCACTTCTTTTCTCCATCTCTTTTCTTTACTTTTTCGTTTGCATCTCTCTCTTCTCCTCATTCTCTATCATTTTTGCTTTCTTTTTCTCTCAGAAATTTCTAATTCTTTCATGTCCATTAACCCCTTCTGTCTTAGTGGCTTTACTGCCTTGCTTGGGATAAATTTGACTAAAAAAATTGCAGTATTATATGTAGATTAGATGAATATATCTTATAGGAATGCATTGAAAATCAAGAAGAAAATAAATGTCTATGGTCAGGAATCAATGACTGATTGATTTGTTTTTTACAGCTTGTCAACCCATTGCAGGTTATTTAAACCCAGGAAATATTTTTTGGCTGTAAGAATTTTTTGTAGCTAATAATATTGACTTATATAAGTTTGACTAATTAACACATAGCTGGGGTGGGGTGGGTAGAAGATGTGGATTTATACCTTTCCCAAGAATATTTGTTGTGGTAATTTACCCATGCACACATGGACTCTCCCAGCTATAAATAGGAGCAGGTACTGCCTTTTGGAGACGGAAGTTTTCAGCTCTGACAGTCGGGCTGAACATTCTTGCTGTAACACTCTCTTTTTATATGTTTGTATTACTGTTTCTCTTAATATATTTGTTTAACTCAATTCCTCTCTTGTGTTTTTATTTCTGGCCCTAAAAAGGCCACAACATTTGTGCATAAGTAAATATAACAAATCCAAGTAGAATTGGAACTTGGCTCTCTGATTTTGATGTCAGTAATGAATGAAGGTATTATTGAGAGAATTGGATCATTATAATTGGACCATTACTGAGAAAATTTGACCATTATATATATATATTAGATAAATATATATTATGGGAATACATTGAAAATCAAGAAAAGAGTTGTCTATGGTCAGAAATCAATGAAGTTATTACTAGAATTATAGAATTATATAAGAATGTATAATTGATAAACATATACTATAAAAATACCTTGAAAATCAATGAGAAATGGATTGTCAGTGATCAATAATCAATGTGTTGTTGACAAAATTGGGCTAATATATGTATATTAAACATGTATTTACTGCAAATGTTTCTCACATCAAGAGGAAATGAATTATCAATGGTCAGGGATTATTGCAAAGTCTATTGACCAACCTGAGCTATTATGTATATTATAGATAGGCAAACTTGGAAATTTGTGCTTGCTAAAAAACAGATTGTCTAAACGATGGTTTTTCCATTGACACTGTTATCATTTTAGCCGCCACCTTGACTCCTCAGGAATTCTTAGTGTTTTAATAGTGTTGATTAGAATTGTAATAAAAACCTAAACACATGATGAAAGTGAATTTTTACATTTTTTGTTCTTGAGAATTTACAACATAAATATTAATCACTATTTCTTTATTAGATTGTCTATTTAGAAAAATAATTTTATATTTACAATATTCTAAAAACTAATATATTTATATTAAAACTAACACATTACAATATTTATCATTTACCAATTTATAAAAAAATAAATAGGAAAAAAAATTATTCATAAATTTATAAACAATTACTAAATTATTAAAATATGTGAACCAACTATAAGGAAATCCTTATTATTTACAATTTTATAAAGTTCAAATTGATTGGCAATTAGCTGAGGTTTTGCCAACCAATAAACAATATAATAAATACTGTAAATAAACAATTTAATAAATAAATTGTGTTTATTATTTTTGTTGTCAATTCTCAAGAATAAAGAAAATGTATAAAATCACTTTCATATGTTTAGTTTTATTACAATTCTAATCGCTTTTTAAAACAATAAACATTGCCAAGGAGTGGAGGTAGTTAAATTAATAGCAGTGTCAAGGGAAAACACATCCTTTTGACATTCCATTTTTTTGTGGGCATGAAGGTCCAAGTATGCAAATAGATAAATATTTTGAAATGTTTCATAAATATCTTTACAAGACACACATTGTAAATCAGGGAGAAAGGTATTGTCAGAGATCATGAACAAATACAAGTGTCACAGGTGCTATTATATGTACTAGAAAGACATGTGAAAATTTATTGGTTTCCTGATGAATCTTAAGTTAATGATTGAATAAGCTCATGGCGAGTTCTATGACAATAAAATATCTGTAGAAATTCCCCTATTGCATTATTAAGTGTAAAAACTTTAACAAAATCTTGCAATGACAATCATAAATATGAATGCTGGTCATTATTTTAAGAAGTAACGAGGTACAGGTGAGAAGATTTGAAATCGACAACAAAGTATTTAATGTCTGTTTCAGCAAAATGGAAATTTCACTGTAACAGACGTTAAACACTTCTTTCTTTCTTTCTTTCTTTCATTCTTTCTTTCTTTCTTTCTTTCTTTCTTTCTTTCTTTCTTGGCGTAGTTAATGTTTCTTCTTTCTTTTTCTCCTGGTTATTTTAACCCTTCTTTCTTTCTTTCTTTCTTTCTTTCTTTCTTTCTTTCTTGGCGTAGTTAATGTTTCTTCTTTCTTTTTCTCCTGGTTATTTTAACCCTTCTTTCTTTCTTTCTTTCTTTCTTTCTTTCTTTCTTTCTTTCTTTCTTTTTCTCACTGAAACCAAGTAGCATCTTTGATATATCTTTTGTTTTTCTATGCAATCAAAATGAAATAGTCCATTATTTAGGTAGTATTGACAGGAGACATTTAAACATTTCTATCTTCTCTTCTTTCTTTCTTTCTTTCTTTCATTTTCTTACTGAAACCAAGTGGTGTCTTTTCCGCTCTTTCCACATGATCAAAACAGAATGGGCCATTACTTATGTGGTATTGGCAGGGCGTAATGGTCGTGCGAACTAACTAAAGAACTAATGAAGGGAGGGACAAGCCCAAATATAACAGAGATAATTTAACACATATTTTGAAATAATATTGTATGGAATGGATATGTTACAGGTATTATGTAATAGCGTTGGAATTTGAAACCTTTTACTACCCACAAGAACCTCCCTGGGTGAAGCCATACCATGATGAACTAACCAAACTGAAGTCAAAGAGACCTGCAGGCGTAGAAAACTGTATTCAAGAAGTTCTACGGAAATATTTTGGACAGAAACGAGCTGCCAAATGCAAAGTAAGTATTATATTGTACCTATGGACGATAATGGGTATGTACCAATACCTATAAATATAGTGATATATACTGTATGCTGTTTTCCACTTGGGATTCACTTGCAATTCACCGTGATTCACTTCTAGCTCACCACTAGCAGTTGATTACTTACTACACATCGCTGGCGAATCTTGTATATTGTTCTTGTTATAAATATTATCATTTCATTTCTAATCTTTGTTTTGGTTATTCTTATTCAGTAACCTTTCCCTGGGTTACAACAGTAAGTAAAAAGAACATAGTGCAATGGTTAACAAGCTTGTCTCACTAGAACAATTATGAATGAGTAGTGAGTTCGATCATCACTGGGTGCTCCATAATTTTGGCCTAGTGCCAAATCTAAGCTACACTAAGAAAGTCACCATATGGGCACCTCAACATGGTGTAATGGTTAACAAGCTTGTCTTGTTAGATCACTTATGACTGAGTAGTGAGGTTGATCCTCACTTTTGGCCTTGTGCCACATCTAAGCTATGCTTAGAAGGGCAAATAGATGTGGTGTAATAGTTAGCAAACTTGTCTCACTAGATCATTTATGACTGAGTAGTGAGCTTGATCCTCACTTGTGCCACACTATGCTCTACTTAAAAAATTACCATATGGATATCTTGACATGGTTCACCGGTTAGCAAACTTGAATAATTAAGAATGAGTAGTGTACACTATTTACATTATTCGGACTATTGTACGCTCCAGCCTTCTTCAGGTGGTTGTAATGTCAAACTGAACCCTTTATTTTGCTCACTGGGGTAGACTGTTCTAGTTCCACGTGCCATGTTTAATGGATGTCAGTTATCAGTTATCTCCTGTTAATTCCCCTCTCCAAGTTCTCCACTGCATTAACCAGGTATTGAACTCACACTCTTTGGGTCCTGTCACTGGATCTAACTAATGCCTTTATCCACTGTGCCATGTGTCTACCCCAGTGAGTGAAATAAAGGGTTCAGTTCAACATTCCAACCACCTGAAGAAGGCCTGACCTTACAACGGCCGAAATGTAATAAATATGGCAACAAAAATGAGGACAATAGTCCGAATAATGTAAATAGTGTACATAATACCTCATCTCAGAAATATAGACAGATAATGAGTAGTGTGTTTGATCCTCACTGTGTTTCCCATATGTTCAGATTTGTGCCACATCTAGTGTATGCTTAGAAAGTAAATTCCTCCCCACAGACAAAAATTGTACATATAGAGACTAGTTAGGACTTCATAGAGATTTTGAGGTATTATGGTGATTGTAAGTAACAATGTGTTGTTTTGGTGTTAGGCATATTGTGATATGTTTAGGTTAGTGTTTGTGGCTAGCTAAGTTTAATTATAAGGCAGAAGAAGACCCGCCTTCCCTTGTGCCACATTTTTGTATTTTATACAAATTAAATATCGCTTTTCTGTTTGGTATCTTGAATTTACAAATTGAAGCACAGTACTAGATTGTCAGCTAGGTCCCATTATTTTGCTGTTGAAATTGGTATGTGTAAGCATAAATTCTAATCTAATGGTTTCTTCTCTTGTACTTCTCATCTATGAAACACTCTTTCAGCTTCTTGCTTTCATGTTAACTAGAATCTCCAAAAATGTAAATACAATGTCAATCATCATTCTCTGTAACCTTGAATTTTGTTCTTTTTATTGTTCTTCCTCCTCAGTAACATTTTCTCAATTTCCTTCACTTGCATTTTAGTGGCTTTATCACCTTGCTTGGTGGTAATTGATTTAAGAAATAGAAATGGCAGTAATATTTAAAAATATGTTAAAAATATATATTGGGGCACAATACTAGCACTACTTAGGTTAACTGGTCTGTTCGTAACAAAAAAGGAAAAATTATTTTGGAGTAATTTTTGTAGACTAGAATTCATTACAATTTTCTCTTCCAACAACATTGGTCAAAATCCAAAATCCAAAAATATTGATTTTTTTTAATGTTTTTTAAAGTGGGTTCCTGTTCATAATATAAATACTTTATAAAATCAATGTATTAAAGAGTTACTGTATTTTGTTTTTAATTACAAATGTTAAGTTTGAAACTGTGCTTCTTTCTTTTTATGTGACATAATTATGGGACATAGGCGATCATGGCTCTCCATCCCCATCTATCCCTTGCAGCTTTCAACAAGTTTCTTCCCTCTGCTTCCTCCCCCAGACTGTTCTGTCATCCACTTGCTTAAGCCCAACCGGACCTGTGTGTATCAAATTCTCCAGACCCTCCTTATGTGTTCCAGAAACTTCAGCTGCCTCTTCCTGATGTTAAGTATAAGCCTCCTCTTTGTTTGCATCCTCTCTAAGACCTCATTGTTGCTCCATGATATCCTTAGCATCCTTCTGTAGAACAACATCTCTGTTGCCTGGAGTCTCTTTTTCATCTTTGAGGAAAATGTCCAACATTTGCTGCCATAAAGAAGGACAGATGTCACATAACAGCTCAGTATTTTTTTCTTTGTTACCAAAGAAATCCTTCTGTCTTGTAGTACTCTGCCCAGCTTTTGGAAAAAAAAAGAAGATATTGGACACACACACACTCACCTAAAAATATGCACAAAACCGACAATCTTGTTAACTTCGACAGAACAACATTGGTAGTATGTTTCGGTAAGTGCAACACTGAAACTGTGCTTACATCATTGATAACTACATACTACTGATGTTGTTCTGTCGGAGTTAACAAGATTGTGGGTTTTGTGTATATTTTTAGGTGAGGATGTTTGTTCAATATCTTCTTTTTTTTTTAATCATTTCACTCCAAGCAAACAGGAGTGCCACTAGCATGCAGAGAAAAGAATGGGTGTAGGCGAGATTGAGTAAAGGAAAAAAAGGACAGAGATCAAGGCAACAGAAGATGGTGATTGATGTTGCATTTACATTTTTGAAGAGTGTAATTATCAGGGAAGCAAGTGAGAGGAAGGGATTTCCAATGTAGGAAAGTTTGAGAAAAGAAACTGTTGGAGTAGAAGTAATGGTTACATTTAACTATTTCAACAGTAAATGGGTGGGACCTAAGTGCCAATCTAGTAGCACACTTAAATTCATGTAGTCGGGGCAACAGTAGCTATGAAAATATTTGTAGACAGAGGGAAGCTACATCATATCTGTAAGAAAGTGTCTGAGGTCAAGAAGCCAATTCAGGACAGATTACATTACAGATCTTTCTTTGGATCTTGTCAAGAATCTCAAGATGAACTGCAGGGGCACCAGACCAGATATGGCAGCAATATTCAATGCATGGATGGATGAATGGTAGATTTGTAGATGTACAAGTTGGACTCTGATGAGAAATACATTCTGGCATGACACAGTGAACCAACTTTCCTTGCAGTAGATGCAGGTATTGACTCAATGTAGTTGTGCCACTTCAAATCAGTTGAAAATGTGAGGCCAAGAAGGCAGAGTGAGATGTTCTCATGGAGACTAGCATCAACCATGCTGATGGGGGAAAGGGATGTTTCTCTATGTTGGTTAAATGAGAGTAGTTTAGTTTTGGAAGCATTAAAATTTACGAGCCATTTTCTGCCTCAGTCAATCACTGATTGGAGGTCCTTTTTGAGAGCAGCAGCCAGGTTCACTTTGCCGGGCTTACCATTGAGACAGAAGTAAATGGTAGTGTTGCCTGCATAGATTCCTACTTGGGAACTTCTAAACACAGATAGAAGAAGCATACAAAAAAAATTTCTTTCTTCTACGAATGTTTATTTCTTTAATGTTGACTGTAATGAAACTAAGTTAAATGTCTCTTGAGTATGTCTGTTTTCCTTTTTGGTTCAGAAATAATTCATGGAAAGTAAAGATAAGAACAGGTAAAGATGGTTAAGCTCAAGTCAGCCTTATACTGAGTCGGGATGTCTAAATCTCTACTTCATGAGTAGGGCTGTTAAAACATATCCGAATGATGACATTGGAAAGTGGAAAGAGAAATATTCTGTCCTTTCTGGAAGTGGGGTCATAAAATCGTACATGCGACCAGAAGCTTATAACTTGCATCATGGGAATTTTTTTTTTTAAGCATTACGCCCCAAGCAAGGCGTGAAGCCACTAGGATGCAGGGGGTTGCGGAAGATTTGGAGCGAGAGCAGATAGGAGTGATAGGATGAGGAGAAGGATAGTGGGTAGATCAAGTTAACTGGAGATGTCGATTGACATTATATTTGAATAGTTGGAGATTATAGCTTTCAGGGAAACAGTAATTGGGGAGGGTGTTCCACTGGCGAGAGGTGTGAGGTATGATGCTATTGGAGTAGAAGAGACGGCTACATTTGAAAGTTTCTACGGTGTAAGGGTGGGAGCGGGATGCCAGCCTCGTAGGGCGTTTGAATTCATGGAGTCTGGGAACTAGTGAAAGCAGCTCATCAGAGCAGTTACCATGGAAGTATTTGTAGAAAAGACAGAGAGAGGCGACGGCGCGTCTGTGAGAGAGTGACTGCAGACGAGACGCTAGATCAGGGCCAATTAGATTACATATCCGTCTCTGGATCTTGTCAAGAACTCCGAGGTAAGCAGAAGGTGCCCCAGACCATATATGGCAGCAATACTCCATGCAAGGGCGAATGGTTGTTTTGTATATTTGAAGTATCGATTCAGGGGAGAAAAATTTCCTGGCGCGGCACAGAGAGCCAGTTTTTATTTTTTTATTTTTTATTATTATTTTATTTATTGGTTGTATTTAATTCTCCTACAATTCTCACCTTCTGGAGTGGTGCATAAAGCTGGCCATTTTCACTATAATATTTACAAATAAATATCTTTGTAGAGGTAGATGCGGCACATTTGGGCAATCTTTTCATTTAAAATGGAAATAATTTAAATTAGATTTTAAATAGTTTAATTATTATAGGTGTTAGAAAGATGAAACTTTGCAACAAGATAATTTGATATAAGCTATAAATAATGTATGATATTTATCATTTTATGTAAATTAGAATCTGACTAAATTCTACTTTAAATTGGTTTCTTCTTAGTTGAAATATCATGCTTCTTTAATAACATTTAATAAAAATAAAGTTTGTAGTTGGTCAACTTATAAAATATGTTTTTATATGTCTGTTATAATTAAAAAGTATAAAATTTATTTGTTTTATCAAATTTTAATTTATATAGATTATCATAATTATTCATGGTGTGTATGTAATAACCAGTATATCTTTTGTAAGCTGAAAATTAATAAAAAGTTTATTATAAAGCTTGTATAAGCTCATAGTTTCTGGTTAATAATATTGCAAGGAAAAACACTGGAAGAAAAGATTAGTGAAGAAAAGTGTTGTGATGGCTTTTAGCCTGTGACAGAAGTTTTCCCTCTGTACTGAGTGACAACTGACTTATTAGTAGTCAATCGACTCTATGCAAATAGGACAAGTTCATTTTGCTATGTCACTACACCTCCCAGAAATGAAGAGGTCATATTCCCTTCATTGTTCTGTGACTTCTCCGAACTATAGCTCAAGATCTTATCTCTCTTTCTCCTGAGGTGTGTACCTGGTTATTTTTATTGGGGATCTAGGTCTGGACTCAGCTCCATTCTGATCTTCCAACTCAGATTCGTGCAAACTATCCTCCATGGTTTCTTTACTACTATGTTAACTTTCTCCTTCAGAAGCACTCATGCTTTTCTCCCTCTCAGGTTCATCCTTCTCATCCATCTTGCCTTCTTCATTGTCAATTCTAAGCCTTATTTGATCAGAACGAGCCAATAAACTCTGTCCACTTGTTGCTATTATAGACATATTTATAGACATATATTTCTTTTGCGCAATAAATTTATCTTTTTCAAGACTTGATTCTTTGTCTTTTTGCACCACATTTTTTCATTTGTTGAATAAGACATTGTTATAGGCGATCTAATTGTCTTCCCATCAATGCAAAGGGACTTTGCATTCTATCAGCATGTGGAATAGTTCTAAAACTCAGTAATTTACTTTTCAACATAGACAAAATATAACCGATGTCATTGCTTCACGATAGATAGGGCATTTGTGGACATCCTGTATATTGTGATACCTTCTCTAGTTTGTGGTGTAGAAGTTCTCCCTCTGTGTCAAATGATGACTGACTTATTAGTAGTCGTTCAACTGCATACAAAATAGTACACGTCCATTTTGCCTATATCACTACAAAAGGGTGTAATGACACAAGAGACATGGATAAATAATACAGTAATAGTGAATACTGTAGTACAGTACTGCAATGTGTATGACTCAATGCCACGACTTGATACTTACTTTGCGACCCCTGTGCCTATAAACTGGCATTCTGCTCATGATGAATATTCAACAATTAGAGTTGAGAAGGCCGGTTATCTTTCTACATAACAAAATTCATAGGAAACAATCTTAAATATGATTTCTAGACTTCCTTGAGTATTTAAATATTTGTTGAGGGTTTGCAACGCCTGGTTAGCACTGATTGTCTCAAACATACAAAATATATCATTTACAAGCAACAATCCAAAACAAAGACAAAACTCAGTTTAACTAAATCCAAAATAACATTTATTCAGAAATGACAGTATGTATTGACTGTGATTCAGTTCTGTGCAGTATTAATGTTTGAATATATAGGTAAGAGTGAAGAGTTCGAAATGTCTTTTCCTTAATAACAATTGTGAGGTAGTAAGAAAAGAAACAGTACCTAACTGGTGCTGCTAATATGGAGTGTTCCAGTTCTTGACCTGGTTACCATGGTGATGTTGCGAATCAGTGAGTTTGTTCTTTGGCTGTGGTTGTTGAAGGAGTGGAAAAAAAACGGGTGAGTGACTGTTTTCCTTCCATCTGCCGACATGAAGTTTAGTAGCTGGCAGATTTCTACCTCCTGAACTGAAAATTTCTTTGATATTTATATGTTTACGGAGGCTGTCGATGACATAGAGTGCGGATGTAGTTGTAAGCTAAAATTTGCACCTACTTGAGATAAATGCTCAAGGCTAAGAAAATGAGTGGAGAAAAAAAAAACGTATTTTTCCGACCAATCGTTTTTTTTAGATCTGCTACATATTTGTTCATTTCAACGGATAGAATTGGTGGCTATAATATTGTTCTTACTTTTGTTTTGTTGCTATATCAGTTCTTCTTTAAAATTTCTGAATTGATGTTTCCCAAAAAGGCACTAATATTTGCTGAATGACTTCATTCCAGAACACACAGTATGTTTTGAGGCTTGCTGCTCAACGAGGATTGGTGCCAGCATTTCAATTTTATTGTCGAAAAAGTCCCTCAACCCGAAGTGTATCAAAACTGGATGAGTCTGGTTACTCATTGCTTCATCATGCTGCTATGAATAACCGTCCAGAAATTATTACTCTTCTTCTGCAAGAAGGAGTGGACATCAATCTAAGGAGACATAACCTGTCATCCTCAGGTAAGATATAGGATTAGCATTTTGGGACAACAAAACTTCTTGTTCTAGTTGAAGATTATGTTGCAGGTTCTGATGATGCATTGTCCTTGTCTGAATGTCATTTTTTTTAGATATGTATTTTTGGGGGGATTAAAAGCGAATTATCAGCAGCTGATTTCCGCAGTTTGTTTACATCTATTTTGTGCATAGTTTTTATTTTCTTTTAAAATCACCATTCTTTATGATCCCTTCACATAAAGTCACTCTTAAAAGATATTAGGGAACCTGAACTATTTAATATTTTGAATACGTCACAGAACACATGCTGAAAAACATATGAGCAATGTACTGTGCCTCGCTTAAGTTTTAATTATAGTTTAGTTAGACGATATCAATTGTAATTGTGACGAAAAGTGAAATTAAAGTTAAACCTTTAATAAAAATTTGTTTTTTGTAAACGTTTCACTCTTTTTGATATTTAAATTTAACTTTACTTAATTTTTATTTATGTGTAACTAGAGTAGTTAATGCCCATTACTTCAGGTTGTTTATGATTAGCAGAGATGAAAAAATAAATGAACAGACACACATACGCAACACTATATTTATATAGATATTAGCAGCATGGCCTGGCATTGCCCGTGCTTGATTAAAAAATCGTACGACTCATACAGTAATCGCTATCACTTTATTTAAAATATTTTTGCCCTTCCTTGCCTTTAAAGGAGTGCCCTTTGCCGTGCTGATGTTGCTACATGCCTTACTTCTTGCCAATCTCACACTGCGAATTTTTTCTAAGCTCTATACTAAACATTAAATCTGTTACGAAGAAAGAACTAAACAAAATGAACACAAAACAATCAGCTTTAAAAAAGTTCTCATAACTGGAAAAACCGAATGAAAAAAGAATGTTAACAACAAATGCTTTTTCACACCCAACCCAGTTCTCTGGAATCAGAATCAACGTTGAGTTTAAGCAAGCGAATGAGCCAATTGGAGTAAAGTGCCATGCAAATTTAAATTTTTCCCACTTGTGACGAATGCAGATATCATTTTTTTTTTTTTTTTGCATGCTAGTTAACATTCATGTCAGTCAGCTGTTGGCTCTCACACTGGGAAATAGAAAATTCCTGCCTATTCGTGGCAGCCAGCTATAGGCTCTCACTCTGACCAGTAGAAAATGGCCACAAACTACATGAAAACTGCTGTAGAAGCATGAAAAAATTGATTATTTCCACTATCGATGGGAGTTGGGAGATGCAAGGTCAGTCTTGGCCTTCCCACTAACTTGGAGCATGTGCATGTAAATTTTGGTGCAAATCCGTTGAAAATTGTGGCCGTGCATTCGTTACACACACACACACACACACATCCTGCCTTTTATAGATAGAGATTAATTTATCTGTTTTTTATTCTTTTTCTGTTTCCTCTTTTAAGAAAATATGTTATTTCACGTCCTGTTTTTTAATTACACAAAACTGCCATGGAATTTCTACTGTTCTACGAATTCTCATCTTTCTTTTGGTTTTTGGTTTGCATTTGGAAATTCATCTTGTTTTTCTTTGGATTCTATTTGCAGGTCCTGCTGCCCTTCATCTGGCTGCTCAGTGTGGATCCCTGGATGCTGTTACATGCCTGGTTGGTAACATGGCTAAAATCAATGTCATTGATCATAACGGCTGGACTCCAGTCCATTGCGCAGCCTTCTATAACCAAGCAGCTGTTTTGGAATTGTTTCTTCAACGAGATAAAGACTTTGCTGAACTTAAAACTGCGGACAGGTGAGAAACATCAGGAATAGGTCATCTAAAATAGAAAACTACCACTATTTTTATCATGATTACAAAAAGAAATGTTAATTTCTCTAAGAGATAAAGTTCATATTTATTATAGACATATTAAAATGCATAAGGATAAATAAATTTTCTTACAAAATACATTTGTTTACTAAACTGAATATTTACGTTGAGGAATTGTAGTGGTTCTATGTTTGGGAAAAAAAGAAAAAAATGGGATTGGTAACAAATTATATTTTGACTTGACAAGATACAAAGGTTAATTAATTTTCTTCAAACAGGAACATTGTAAAAGTCTGAGTTTTTATTTAATGTGTAAAAAATGATGGTTGTTAGATGTTTGTTTTGTTTAATGTGTATAAAATATGAGAATTGTTAGTTTTTGCTTAAATGTGTTTAAAATATGAAAATTGTTGGTTTTTGCTTAAATGTATATAAAATCTGAAAATTGTTGGTTTTTGCTTAAATGTGTATAAAATATGAAAATTGTTAGTTTTTTTCTTAAAATTGTATAAAATATGAAAATTGTTAGTTTTTTTTGTTAAAATATGAATAAAATATGAAAATTGTTAGTTTTTGCTTAAATGTTTATAAAATGTGTTAGATTTTTAATTTAATGTATAAAAAATGCAGATTGTTAGGGATTTTGTTTAATGTATAAAAATATAAAAGTTGTTAGAGTTTTTGTTTAAATGTGTAAAATCATGGGAATACAGAAGATGAAAGGCATTTGATGAAATAAATAGTGAATTTGACTTGGTAAAATAGATTGACATAAGTCAAGAACACAGACCCATCAATAAAGTGAGTCTATTATAGTGATTACTGATGTGGAAAGTGGGATTAGTGTTTTGAGTTCAAATTCCAGCAGAGGCTGTTGCATTCATTTTTGCACAAATATTCTTGTAAAGCTAAAAATCCATCTCTTCTTCCTTCCCCCAGCTAGGGGTTAATATCAGGGAAGACTGGCTTCACTAGTTCTGATTGCCAACGACTATAGCAGAAGGAGAACTCTGAACTCAAAACTAGTTGGATGTAGTGCTAGCAACTTCTATTTGTAAAAACCTACTCACTATGGAAAGAGCAGCAGCAACACTTTGTGTTGTGTAGCTATGAACCTATGTTCTGCAAGGGTCTCTACGTGGTTAAAAGGCATATGATTGCCAAGGAGAGCCAGTGGGGGACGCTTTATTTAGGATAGAGGAAATTATTTAAGTTTTAACTATATTTTATTATAAATTTTATCAATATTATTTAAAAGTACTTTTATATAACATTTTCATTTTACATTGCTCTCATCCAAAGACTGTGTTGTGGGTGTTAATCTGAGTTAAGACTGTTGAGTCTTCTCCTCTTGTCTATAGATAAAAAGAAGTCTGTTTGGAGTGATCTCCTCTTTGTTTGTTGTTGTTGTAGTTTCCTTTGACAAGATGGCGGTTTAGCTGAGACTGGGTGTCTGTGGAAGGAGTAAATCATCAGTGGGAATTCTGGATGATGGCCTTATCTGAATGTAACTTTTTATATATGTATTTTTGGGGATTAAAAGGGCATCATCAGCCCACAAATCATAAAATTACAAACAAAATCATATTTGAGATACAATGAAATAAGCATAGACAAAAATGATAAAAAGCTTTATTATATATTTTCAGAGAAATGATTGTATATTCCAAAGAAAATATATTTATAACTGTCCAGGATATCTGCCTACTTTGGTAGTTGAAAAATTGAAGAGAGAGAAAGTTTTGATTTTTATTTTATTTGGTGGTAAAACACTTGTTCTGGTGCAACATGGGAGTATTCTATTTTTATTTAACTATTTTTTATAAACTACATTTTTCTATCTTCATTGTCAACTACCATTTAAATACTAAGTTCATATTCACTTTTGTATAAATGCCTTTAAGAAAGGTATAATTCTATCTCTTCCCCTTTTAGCTATGGGTTAAATAGCAGGGAAGACTGAGCTTGCTTGACAACCAGTCTAGGAGAAAGACAACTCTGAACTCAAAACTGGTTGAGCACAGAGCTGACAACTCCACTCTGTAAGAAAATTATGATTGAAACTCTAGTGGTAACATCTTTTAGGTGTCACTTCTTGAACAGTTGTGAACCTCTTCTCCATGAGGGAGCCTAATGTTTTTTTTTTTAAATCAATTCACTCTAAGCAAGGCAATAATGCCATTAAGATGCAATAAGCTACTGGGAGCGAAAGAGAATGAAAAGATTTTAGGAGGAACCAGAAACCCAATCATAAACAGGAAACAAGGGATAAACCCCTATTACATGTTAAAAAAGACTCAGGAGGAGTGTGAACCAGACAATAGGGTAACTTATCTACTCCTATTAAATGACGCCAAGGAGGATGGAGAGGAGGAGGTGAGGGAGTGTAATGAGGAGGGGAGGTAGGAAAACTTTATATAATTTATGGTGCCTTGGAATTATTCTTCATGCTCATGATATTCTTTTAATTGTTTTTTTTTTTTTTATGGTAAACAGCTCTAAACTGACCCCTCTGTTACTAGCTGCAACTGCAGGGTCATTACCATCAGTGAAAACCCTGATTCATCTCAATGCTGATGTTACGGCCTGTGACAGCAGTGGTTACAATGCTGTGCAATTATCTGTGTTACGCAGTCACACCCATGTGGTTCGATACTTGCTACAATGTGACTCTCCTCAGTTACAAGTCTGGAGGATCCTTGTGCGTAAGTCACTCTGTTTACCATACTGTTTACCTTCTTGTCTTGCATGTACCCGTCAGGTGACAAATAAGCATCCCTCTCCCACTTGTTGATTTCTTTTAATTGTTACCACCTCTCTACCAGAAATTATTATGATCCCTCCACCCACTACTAGCTTATTAATTTTTGACTATTTACAGTCGCGCTACTCAGTAAATTGCTGGAAATTCTTGTTTTGAAAAGGCACAGTGGAGTAATGGATAGTAGCTTGCATTGAGGAATCGGAGAGCTGAGTTCGAATTCCAGTCGAATCCATTACATTCACTTATGTGATAATACCTTTGGGAAAGGTATGAATCCTCTTCTTCTCCCCCAGCTATGGACAAATAGCAGGACAGATCGGGTTCTATAGCCTTGGATGGCAACTGCTCTACCACAGAAAGAAATGGCAACCTACTGTTGAAAATAATCTGCTTCATCAGTCATGTATCTAAAGATACATGATTGCTTAAGTGTGTATCATGCATGGAACATAACTGACTGACTGTGGTGGGAAACAATTGCATTTTTGTTTTAAAATTAAAGTTCATCTAATACGAGGCTCAAGAGCCACTCAAAGAAGAGGGTTATTTTTAAAAAGGGAATGATAAATGAGGTGTGTGATATGAATGAAAGAGTAGGTGGTAGCAAATGAAGATTATGAGGATAAGGAGAATAGACAAGAAATTGACCCTCGAAAGGAATGGATTGAAGCTTTCAGTGAAGCTTTGATTCAGAAATCTGTTCCAGAAAGTTTCAGATCTATGGAAAAATCTGTCGCAGTTTCTCCTTACATTTTAAATATGGAAGAAATGTGGGTGATTCAATTCCGTGGATGTAGCATGACATGTCCTAGCTATTAAGATATGAACAAGGTGGAACGAAATAAAGGAACACCTCTGAACATTTAACATGGGAATAGCGATAAAGTAATCAATAGGCTTGCAGCATTGTGTCTGCGAGAGAGAAGTTTCCTCACCCAACACTGAAAATTTTCTTTTAGTAAAATGTCTTCAAAAGGAGTGAATAGAATTCTACACGTGCAAGAAATAGAAAATATAGCTTATATGAGAAAGAAGAACTTTTCTTGGACATTCATGAATATTTATTGATATTGTAACATTGGCAAGATTTCATGGAAATATTTTTTATTTTGCTAAAGAATTTTACTTACAGGTATTGATTGACATTTTTTTTTTATTTCATTGAAGTCTTGTAATACTTTGAAAATTTCCCAATTAAACCTTTAGGCCTTGTACCACAATTGTTGTATTCTATATGCAATAAATCAACATTTCCCAACCAGACCATTTATCAACTCTTGGATTTATTAGATTCCCTAATCTTCCAAACCCTCCATTTATTAGCTTCTTTTGTCTTCTAAACCCCCATTTATTAGGTTCCATCAATTTTCGAAACCCACAGTTTATTAGCTCACCATAATTTCCAAACCCAGAATTTATTACATTTGTGCATCTTCAAAATCCCCATTTATTAGATTCCCCATTTTCCAAACACAGTGTTTATTAGATTTCCTCAACCCCCCCCCATTTATTAGATTTCCTCATACCACCCCCCATTTATTAGATTTCCTCATCCCCCATTTATTAGATTTCCTCACCCCCATTTATTAGATTTCCTCATACCCCCTAATTTATTAGATTTCCTCATCCCCCATTTATTAGATTTCCTCCTTACCCCCATTTATTAGATTTCCTCCTTACCCCCCCATTTATTAGATTTCCTCATACCCCCCCCATTTATTAGATTTCCTCATACCCCCCCCATTTATTAGATTTCCTCCCCCCCATTTATTAGATTTCCCCCCCCCATTTATTAGATTTCCTCATCTTCCCCCCATTTTTTAGATTTCCTCATCTTCCAAACCGTACTCTTTACTAGATTTCCTCACTCTTCCATTTATCAAATTGCCCATCTTCCAACCACTCCGTTTATTAGATTCACTCATCTTCCAACCATTCTCATTAGATTTCCTCATCCCCCATTTATTAGATTTCGTCATATACCCCCCCATGTTTATTAGATTTTCCGAAGCCCCTGTTTATTAGATTCATGCATCTTTCAAACCCACAGTTCATTAGATTTCCACATCCCCTGTTTATTAGATTTCCTCATACCCTCCCTGTGACAGAGAGAGAGAGAGAGAGCCGCCCCCGCCCAATGAGGTGGGTTCATTAATCAACAGTTTTAAAGGATTGGGATGAAGGTACTAATTAGTTGGGTAGAAGGGATTCCGGAGTAATTCCAGAAATAAGTTTTTTTTTTTTTTTTAATTGTTTTTGGGGTTGAGTTATTAGTTAATTAGGTGAATTAATTTCAGAGTGATTAATGGACGGGTTCGTTAAGTAAAGCTTGTGATAAATGGTGAATTGGATTTTGGGTAGTCTGCAGGGCGAAATCCAGCCAAATTCCTTAGATGAGATAAGAGCTTTTCGCAAGGCTTAAATAGATGATGTCTGTGGAAAGCCCAGCAGGGAATCCAAATTTATTTTTAGTACCACTTGAGAACTGGTTGCCCGCAGAGATTCGGAGATTAGGCGGAAACACATGGTGATCAAGGTGATTTGCATATTAAAATTTGTGGGCGGTGTCTAAAAACTGTTTCGCTCTGCCCCACTCTATATAAGCTGCCTGCGCACTTGAGTTAAACAGAACGTGGACAGAGAGCGGAGAGAAGCAGAGGAAAATGGCTTGGTGGATCTTGCTGGTCTGGTCAGTTGGTTGTCCTGCGTCAAGAAGACTGATCCGAACCAAGAGATAAAAATAGAACCTGTGCGAATCCTGATAACTTCGTCAACAAAGCTGTGAGAAAGCAGACTGCTATATCGTAAGATGCAGACAAAGACACACAAATTACCTCCCTTAGATCAGCTGAATTCCTCATCAGCATAATAATCGTCTCTCTCTCTGTGACTTTTCGATCCAAATGAGTGAATCTCGTTAAGACATTTTGTAATTCGTGCAATTTCTTTGGTAGTGACATAAAAGTAGCAGCCTTAAAGGGCTCTTTGTACAGGAACCGAAAGTGTTGCTTATTTTTTGTGTCCTTGCGGTTACGACAAGAACTTTTTCTGCACGAATAGCGATTCCTTTCAGCGTAGAACCCAGCCATTTCATCCTTTACCATCGAACCATTCTGAAGGATCGGAACACTGCTGTTCGGATCAAAAACTCACAACGTGGCGAATAGTGGTGGTTCCTTCAGCTCACTGGAGGAGAACCAGGTGGTTTTCTTTTAGCGGCCAGAACCACCGTGGAGACAGGATATAGCTGCCGGGCTTTTACGTTAGACCCCTGTTTATTAGATTTCCTCATCTTCCCAATCGTACTCTTTATTAGATTTCCTCACTCCCCCATTTATTAAATTGCCCATCTTCCAATCACCCCGTTTATTAGATTCACTCATCTTCCAACCATTCTCATTAGATTTCCTCATCCCCCATTTATTAGATTTCCTCATATTCCCCACCCCATGTTTATTAGATTCCCCATTTTCCGATCCCCTGTTTATTAGATTCATGCATCTTTCAAACCCACAGTTCATTAGATTTTCTCATCCCCTGTTTATTAGATTTCATCACTCTCCACATTTATCAAATTGCCCATCTTCCAACCACTCCGTTTATTAGATTCACTCATCTTCCATCTATTCTTCATATCCCCACCCTTGTTTTTCCTGATTTCTTCATCCCCCATTTATTAGATTTCCTCATATCCCCACCCTTGTTGTTTCTGATTTCCTGATCTCCCATTTCCTGTTTATTAGATTTTCTCGTTTTTCCAACACCTGTTTTTAAAACAATTTAATTTCTTCTGTGACCTTACCAACACAACATTTCAGTCAGTTCAGTCTATGGTCTTCTTCATGTGTGCCATACTTGAAAGGGTCCTTTCTTCTAACAGTGCAATGTAAAAAAAGAAAAATGGTGGCAAATTTTAAAACAATTCATCTGGGTAGCAACACTGTCAGCTATTTCCTATTTCTCTTTTATATAGTCACATCTGCAATTTGTTTGAGTTGGGATCTAACTGCATGTCAACTTGAGCAGAATGCAACACAAGGTTCAGTTTAAAATAGGCTGGTTGTCCACTTGTATATGAACGGACGACAAACATTGCTGAAACCCCCCCTCAGCACATCCATCTTTGAGAATACTTCTGGCACCAGCTAAAAACATTGAATGCCTTCTGGTGACAAGGTGAAGCCTGGGGTGATGGTCACCTGAGACTTGAGTTAATATTAAATTTTCACCTTCCATGGTTCAGCTTGTTTGAGTATATTACCAGGGATGTTCACAGACCTTTTCACTGTTAAATTCTGTAGACCTTTTGTTAAGCAAGGACAACCACATGATGTTGAAATCTGTATTAGCTCAATTTGTAGTGATAGAAAAATAAATAAATAATAAGGTGACCAAATTTTCACCATATCTAAAAATAGATGTATATTCAGAATCCCCAAGTCACAAAGCCATAATTTGACCAACCAATCAGAAAGCCTTCACAATCAGGATATAAGGCCAATCAGCACTTTGATATATATCTAACAAGATTGAAAATCAACCTAAATTGGAATTGATAATTTAATTTTGTCTATTCTCCGATGATGTGGTCATCGTAATGTAACCGAAGCTGAAATGCTGGCGACCTGAGATGTCTACGCAGTCTTGCTACATTTAAAAACATGCATCCTTTTTTTCATCACCTTTTAAGTAGATTTGGAAACATACATACTTTCTTTCACCAACATTGTTAAGCAGGTGGCTACTACATTTGAACACACACACACACACACACACACACACACACACACACACACACACACACACACACACACACACACACACACATATATGTGTGTATTTATTTTATTTCTTTAATAACTTGGGTAAAAAGCTTGTTTTCAACATAGGACATATAATAATTGACCGTGTTTTGAAACAAAAAAATGAAAACATTTTATAAAACATACATACAACAAACTATTTTTAATTGAAATGTATAAATGTATAGCCAAAAGCGCTCGGATAAAAAGAACATTCAGACATGTTTTATATAATTTATCATCCAAAAAGAAAAAATTATTAGATCACATGAGAAATTGTATAAAAAAATAAATAAAAGAACTTTTGTCTGTCGTTTTCAGTGAAATATATATATATATATATATATATATATATATATATATATATATATATACTTTCTGCTACATTTGAAAACATACATACTTTCCTTCACCAACATTGTTAAACAGGTGGCTACTACATTTGAATACATATATACATGAATATATATATATATATATATATATATATATATATATATATATATATATATATATTCTTTCTCTCTCTTTCTCTCTCTCTCATATGTATCAGGACTTTTACACTTGAAGTTTTGAAACTTCAACTTTCCTTCTGTATTATTATATTTTGTTATATAAAATTTAATTTGTACTTTTCAACACTCTGTGTATTTCCATTAATCACTACCCAAGGTCAATATACACTCAAATCAACTATAGCGATATATGGTGCAAACAGACATTGTCAGAATATAAGCTTTCACAACCCCTCCATAGAATTAACTATTTCTTTAGCTCCTTCGCTCTTTAGATAATTCACAGAAAGCACTGCTGGAGAATGAGGAAGTTGGAGGCAACAGCAGATATCAGTTTAGATATCAGTGGGTGCATGAGTTGATCTTGTATGGATTTCAACACCATGTGGTTATCTTTGCTCAACAAAGAATGTGTTTGAGAATTTTATAAAGAAAAGATCTGAGAACTGCACATAATAGATTGGAAGAACTGTGTGTATGATTGAAAAAGAAACAAACTCATATTATAACTGTTGCTGCTTCATCACAGGTCCCATAACCAGTTAGGGTCAAAGGGGCACAACACGTACTGCAGTCTTAGCAGAAGTGGTGTGCCTTGGGCAAGCTAATCTGACAAAGCCCAACTCTTTCCAGGCTGGTTTGAATTCAGAGCTTTCCTCCTTCTAGACTGGTTGCTAACCAAAGTTATAGAGCCCAGTTTGTACTGCTGTTTTGCCCATAGCTGGGGGAGTAGAAATGGATTTGCACCTTTTCCAAAAGTAATTATGCATAAATGAATGTAATAAACTTGAATAGATTTCAAACTCGGCTCTTGGATTTTTCATTATGAGCCACTATACCTTACACCATCATATATTTGCTACTGCTGCTTAGATAAATTAAGGGCTCATGGCCATATCCTGTTGAAATACCAGTTCCTATAATGATCACTGAAGTTAAGCAATGTCATGCTAGATGGGTGACCGCTTGGAAATACCAGGTACTATAAGCTTGGATGTGTGGGTGGTGTAATGGATATTGGCTCGGAATTATTAATCAGAGAGCCAAGTTTCAATTTCACTTGGGTTTGTTATATTCATTTATACACAAATGACATTGGAAAAGGTATGAATCCACCTCTTCTCCCCCAGCTATGGGTTAATTAGTAAGACTTGTATCCCTAAATCATTATTATCTCAAAAAAAAAAAAAAAATTCTTACAATTTAAAAATATTCTCTGGGTTTAAATAACTTACAAATGGTTGATAAGCCATAGAAAGTGAATCAATCGACATTAAGTGAATGAAAAAAAAAATCTGTTATCATTCTTCATTTTTTGCTAACGAAGAGATTTTCCTTATGCTTATAGACAGTTACACCTGAGGAATGACCAACTGAAATGTTGTGTTTGATAAGATGACAGGCATAAAGAAAAGATTAAATTGCTTGGAAAAAATTGGAATAATTTGTTTGTTTTCTTCACAGAAATGCTGCAGATCAATGATTTCACTGTAAAAGGATGTGCTGTTCGCTGCTTAGAAGATCTAATCTGGAGTTATCCTCAATACTGGCATGCGATATATGAATCTGGTAAATGAAAAAAAAACTATTACTAAAATCTTATAATTAGTTTCAGAATATTTTTTCCCTTTTTAGGTTTTTTACTATAGCTTGAAGAAGAGGAGACATGTTGAAATTTTATTGTTAAAAGGAAATAAAGTGGTGTAAATCCCCTTAAATAGCACAGCTTTTTGATTAACCTTTACCATTAAAAAGAACAACAATAGGCATGCATAAAAGAAACTATTTGCCACTCATGTGCATTTTATTCATTTTTTTTGTGAGATGACAGATAAATTCTACTTTTAAACAGTTTTACCTCATTTCTATTGACAATTCTGCTTTATTCTGTTCATATTTTATGATCCTCTTTGATAAGGGTTAATTGGAAAGCTGGCCACTTAAGAGGACTTGCATCACTGTTTTTTTTTATTTTTGACAGTAATTTTTCAACATGTCTCTGCTTCTTCATGATGCACTTGAATTTTGTACTGTTAAGAAATTATTTAATCACTTTTTAGTAGATTTCTTGTCATCCCTGAAACATTCACACGCACACACTTGCACATACACACACACACATGCATACTCACAAACTCATGCACACATATACACACCTGTGCTCACACACACATGCACACACACACACAGACATACACACTCACTCACATGCACACATATGCACTCACGTGCACTCTCTCTTGCACATACACACTTACGCAAACACACACTCTCACTGATGCACTCACACTCTCACTAACACTCACAGACATACTTGCATGCACAGACACTCTCACACTGACTCACGCACTCTCACAGACACACTCTCTCTCTCTCTCACACATACACTCTCACACCCACACGCACTCACTCGCACCTTCACAAAATCTCAGATTCATTCACACACATACACACATTCTCTTTCTCACACATACACTCTCACACTCACACACACTAGCACTCACTCACACTCGCACAAACTCTCATATTCACTCACACACACTCTCTCTCTCTCTCACACATACACTCTCACATTCACACACACTCACATGCACTCACTCACTCACACTCACACAAACTCTCACATTCACTCACACACACACTCTCTCTCTCTCACACATACACACTTGCACTCACACACACTCACACACACACTCACACAAACTCTCACATTCGCTCACACACACTCACACACTCACCCACACTCCCACACACTCCTTCACTCACTCTCTCACTCACGCACACACACACACACTCACTAACTCACTCACACACACACATACACACACTCACTCTTACATGCACACTCTAACTCACACTAGCATATTTCAGCAGCAGTCCTTCTTTTAAACATGTTTGTTCCACTGAGCCATGGAGAACGTCAAAGTAAGCAAGGCTCTATTTTCCTGTTTTAAAGAAAGCAAATCCTTTGCTCAGATTATTTTTCTCAAGAGCCCATACCCACTCAGTTTCTTACTGGGATGTTCTTGTAGCATGGGGTAAAGCATGTCAGATCAAATGGTGGTTTCTTTTACAAATGTAGGCACAGGTTCGATCCCTGCCAGAGAACACATACAAACTACTTAATAAGTTAAAATTGGACATCTATTTCACATATGAAGTGTCCACTATAACATTTGCAGGAATAAAAATGTTGGATTAAATATATAGAAAGTCTGTCTGAAATGTAACATGACTCGTGTCACAAACAATTATATTTCAATTCCAAACATGAAGCTACATGTTTTCCCCTTTAAAGTAATCTGCCTTGATATGATGCCCTTTTCTATCCTTCTCTCTCACACTTCTGTGCACTGTTGGAAGGATTTTTCTTGGATGTTACTCAGCTTCATCATTATGACCCTCTTGATGGCCTTCAAAATGGGTTCCTTTAATGACCCCATGAGCTTGAGGAAAAGAAAAAGTCACACGGAGCAAGATAAGGTGGATAGGGAGGTTGTTTCAGTATGTTGATGTTTTTCTTGGTGATATGTCCTGGAAAGGGATACATTTGATCGAAGTAGCTAAGTGGGTTTGGTTACTGTAACCAAGTAGTACACGGTAGCAGTAATCGACCGGTACTCGTCGTAGTTGCAGGTAATAGGTGTAGACTAATAGAATAGCCAATAGCGTAGTCAGTGGGCGTCGTCACAGACTTAAACTCTGTTGTACCTACATGTCTGTCTGTATTCATGACGGACACCAGCCAATCATGTTCCAGTGAGGGGGAACACAGGTGTATGCATATTCCGTTATATCACTTGGCTTGAAACTTATGGATGCTCAGGGCATTGTGAGCAGTTACATTATCATGGTGAAGCAGCCACAGTATATCCTGCCACAAAAGCATATAAAAAAAAATATACAATGGTTGTAGAAACCTAAGATTCCAGTTATATACTCCCAAGTATCATCTTATCATGACAACACAATTCACTTATCAATCTTTCACACATAGCTCACACAACACACTCAGTCTCATTACTTTTCAGACAGACCTCATATATATATATATATATATATATATATATATATATATAGGCAGCAATCCTTCCTTTATACATGTTTCATTAAAAACGACAGACAAGGTACTACGGTTAAGCTTTTTATTTAATTTTTCTTGTGTTCTGACAAGAGCTTTCTTTTCTGGACAAAGGGTGTGTAAGAACTGTCCAAATGTTTTATATTTCCGAGCGCTTTCGGCTATAACTTTAGCCATTATCAAGGATGATTCGATTGTTCAGCTTAATTGAGTGTGTGCGTTCTGTGTATGTCTTAGTGTGTGGTAGGAATGTTTTTAATTTTCGAATACGGTTAGCACATTGTGGCCTTGTTTGTAGTTAATATTGTTAAGGGATGGCTTTTTCTTTTTTATTAATAAAACTTCCATTATTTTTAGTCTTTTTTTGCAGGTGGATGCAGTTAATATATTTGTGTTTTCTACTAGTATGTTCCTAATGGAATCGGGTAAATCTGTGTGTGTGTGTTTAAATGGGTTCTAATGGAGCTGTGATCAGATAGGTGTAACGTAAGACGTCTGGATAAGCATGTGGTTGTGTAGCCGATGTAATTATAAGTCCGGTTTGATCAAGAACACAGTTCCTTAAGGGGCATTTGAACTCATAGATAATGTTCGTTCTTTGTAATTTTGACTTAGTTGGTGTGTTGTTATTTTTGAGGATAAGGTTGGATGTCTTAAATTTTTTATAATAGATAATAAATTTGATTTTTTTATTCGGATCAATTGGAGTAGTATATTTCTTTATAATATGCCTTAGAGAAGATTCGTCTTGTTTGTAATTAATATGCATTTGGTTTTTGTAATAAATGTGTATGTGATTTTTGGCTGTGTGTTCGCTATTGTTATTACTTGCTTTGGGGAGGAATAGTCTAATTTGGTGGTCTATAAGGTAGTTAGGGAAGCCATTGTTGATTACAAACACTAATCAATATGAAAGCTCTTGTCAGAACACAAGAAAAATTAAATAAAAAGCTTAACCATAGTACCTTGTCTGTCGTTTTTAATGAAACATATATATATATATATATATATATATATATATATATATGTGTGTGTGTGTGTGTGTGTGTGTGTGTGTGTATGTGTGGTATCCATCTTCAGAGACTATAGCTCTGCATCTGGAAGTGTTTGATTCAGTTGCTGGTAGTAGTGCAATGTCTACCGTGGCACACAAAGAAATTATAGTCTTGACTGCTGCAGTTTTGGAGGCACTTGCCTCCAGTTTTGCCTTGCTGCTTTCTTTCCATTGAGTACATTTTCCTCAGTGGCAATTGTCCTGGGTATGTCTATAAACTACATCTGGCAGCAAGGCCTCTGATCTGAAAGTTTTGAAGAGCGTGGAACCACGCCTTAATTGCTGTTGTTCCCAAGTTCACCCTGACCCGTAGTGGTAGCACTTGTTAGGGTGGGTAAACAGTTAATCCCCAAAGTAGAGTGAAAACATTATAAAAGCATAAAAATATTTTTATTGTAAAATACCAGCAGTATATTTAAAAAAGAATTACCAGCAATACATACTCTTTACAAAACTATGTCAATGAAACCTGATCTACAAACTGATTTCTTACAAAGTATACTTATTCTATTCATATGAACCTTTCCTTAAAATCTTGTTAGCAATTAAATAAGCCATTGAGATTGATATAATGTTAAAAAAAAATAAACTAAACGAAACCTCAGTGGCTATCCTCAATTTCTCTTCTCTAAAATGCAGTCCTCTATGTGATCTTTTGCAATATCCTCCCAACACATGATGACCTGGTGTAGTGATTTCATGTATCTTTTGCAGATGACTTTGAAATGAAGATAGTGTTGATCGTTTTGCTGTCAACTAAATATTAGTTTTTTTCTATCTTAAACATTTTATTACATGTTAAACATCTAAATATTATTTTTAGTAAATATTTATATTAAAAATATGAGCTCTCTGGCATGTGCTTCAGACCTCTTTGCCATGGAGAGCATCAATGGTTGAGCAAAGTTGAATAGTGCAATTAATTACAGATTTTTCTCTGACTCTTGAAATAGACATGTGTGTTCAGTTTCGTATCCTAATGTAAATGAAGCAATAGGGGAACATAGGTTCAAATCCTGGCAGAGATTAAATATTTTTCTCTAAAAAGGATTTCTTGAATATTCAGACCGGTAGAAAAAAAATAAATAAATGGAGTATCTACTCAAATATGAGTACCCATTAAAAATAATGTTTAAAGTGATAAACAAGTTATTGGATTAATAAAAAAAAATCCGTTATCTATAATAAAATCTTTCTCATTAATAAACAAATAAAAATAAATCCTTTCTTTAGAAATATATATATATATATATATATATATATATATATATATATATATACACACACACACACACACACATATATATATATATATATATATATATATAATTACTTTAAATGCTATTTTAAGTGGATACTCATACTTGAGGAGATGCTCCTTTTTTAAACAATATTTTATTTTATCTAAAATATAGACAAAATACTCTTTAACACATGTATTAATTAAATAAAATACATTATTTCTTAATGAATTCATTATATATATATATATATATATATATATATATATATATATATATACAGTGTAACCTGAATATAAGAGACCCGGATATAAGAGAAACCCGGATATAAGAGAGATTTTCTCTGGTCCCAAAGTGTTCCCATACTTAACTAAACAAAATAGACCTAACCCGGATATAAGAGAAACCCGGATATAAGAGACTTCTTCTCCGATCCCGACAACTCTCTTATATCCGGGTTACACTGTATATATATATATATATATATATATATATATATTGGGTGTAACAGCCTTATTGTTCAAATTGTGTTCCAGCATAATCATCCATCCCACAAAATGTTTAATATCTAAAAAATCACTAAACTGAGTTTCTTTTTTCCAGGTTTTCAGATAAGATGTTTAGCCATCTTGACATTATTTCTTGTAAGAATCACTGAAAAACCCTTTGAGTTATTCAGCTAGAACAAGTTAAAATCATTTTGTGTCAGCCCCTCTGTCTTCCCAAATGAGCAATGGTGAGAGAAAAAAAGATCATTCATGACTTCAGTAATGGTACCAACATTCATACTCTGACTTCTATCTTCAAAGTCCATTCAAGAACAGTGAATAAGTTTAAAAAAAAGAGGGAACAGTAGAGAGAAAAACTGGATTAGGAGGTCACAACAGTAAGAGGGATTATCATTTCAACTTAGAGCTAAAGAGATCAATTAGAAAAGATCAAACTCAATCCATAAGAAAATGTCCAGAGAGCAGTAAAAAAGACTTGAAAATGAAATCATACATGAAACCTGTGAGGCAACTTGTTACTCAAGGACAGAAATTTAGAAGGTTAGAGAGGGTGAAGATAATCTTGAATAAGTTGGAAAATGATTCTGGAATAATATATATATATATATATTTTAACTTTATTTCAATCCTTTATGAGCTTCTGATCCTTAGCTATGATTAATTAATGATGAGCATGTCGTTTTCATTTATGATTGATTTCATCACAATTCTTCTGTTAACCTTGAAGAGTAATTATACATTCTTATTGCTCTAAGTAGAGTCAAATAATGTTATAAAAACCTTATAGAATTCCAGCAAGATATCTTTAATCATTTTTAAGATACAACAGTTCAAATCTTAATCTAACAAATGGACAGTTTTGCTGTTGCACCATATATATATATATATATATATATATATATATATATATATATATATATAATGTATATTTAATGTATATATATATATATATATATATATATATATATATAATATATATTTATACATAATATATATATATATATATATATATATATATATATATATATATAATGTATTCCAGATAAAATTTTAGTGGTCATCCTTAATAATATCTACCAAGAGTTATTTAACCATTGTGTGGAAGAGAAATCTTTCCCAAGCATGTGGAATGTGGCAAGTATATTCCCAGTTTTCAAGAATGTGGCAATCGATCCTCCCCCTCCCATTGTAGACCCATTAGTCTCCTCAGTATCATCAGTAAGCTGTTTGAAACCTTAAACAACAAGAGAGTTGTCAAGAACCTGATAGGACAACCTCTTGTGTGACGAGCAGTATGGGTTTTCATCAGCCTGATCCACTGCTGATGTCCTAACTACCATTACCTGCAGAATTAGTGAGGTCCTTTATGACACACATACTGTAAGGACCATAGCATTAGATATCTCAAAAGCCTTCGACAAGGTATGGCATAAAGGCTTGCTACACAAGCTTTCCAGCTATGGAATCACTGGAAGGGTTTTCTCTAATATAAAATCCTTCCTAACAGGTAGGTCCCTGAAAGTAGTTTATTAACAGCCAGTCCTCTGAGGCCCTGGTAGTTAACACAGGCAGCCCAAGCCTCACTTCTCAAACTAATCCTCTTTCTGATTTACATAAATGATCGACCTAAGAATATACTCCGATCTAAACATGAGAATTGAGTAACATGAAGAACTTAGGACTTCACAACAGTATGCAACCAATTTTTTATTACCTGTTGTGATATATTTAAAAAATAGTTAGTCAAGATGATAGAAGTGGTTTCCAAAAGCAAAAATTACACATGACTTAACCAAATGTATACAATGATCGGTATTAAGATGATTATTTACAGAACTTTCCCCAGAAACTGCACAACAAATTTTTAGAATTAACTAGCAGCATGACCCGGCATTGCCCGTGCTTGATTCAAAAATTGTACGACTCATACAGCAATTGCTATCACTTGACTTAAAATATTGTTGCCTTTCCTTGCCTTTAAAGGAGTGCCTTTTGCCGTGCTGATGTTGCTACATGCCTTACTTCTTGCCTATCTTACACTGTGAATTCTTTCTTAGCTCTATACTAAACATTAAATCTGTTACGAAAAAAGAACTAAACAAAATGAACACAAAACAATCAGCTTTAAAAAAGGACTCGTAACTGGAAAAACCGAATGAAAAAAGAATGTTAACAACAAATACTTTTTCATCCCCAACACAGTTCTGCGGAATCAGAATCAACGTTGAGTTTAAGCAAGCAAATGAGCCAATTGGAGTAAAGTGCTATGCAGATTTAAATTTTTCCCACTCGTGACGAATGCAGCTATCGATTTTTTTTGCATGCTAGCATGCTAGTTAACATTCGTGTCAGTCAGCTGTTGGCTCTCACGCTGGCTAATAGAATCTTCCTGCCTATTCGCAGCAGCCAGCTATAGGCTCTCACTCTGGCCAGTAGAAAATGGCCGCAAACTACATGAAAACTGCCGTAGAAGCATGAAAAAATCGATTATTTCCACTATCAATGGGAGTTGGGAAATGCAAAGTTGGTCTTGGCCTTCCCGCTAACTTGGAGCATGTGCATGTAAATTTTGGTGCAAATCTGTCAAAAATTGCGGCCATGCATTCATTACACACACACACACACACACACACACACACACACACACACACACACACACACACACACACACACACACACATATCCTGTCTTTTATAGATAAAGAAAAATATACCAATTTTGACAAATTAGAAAATGCATGTCACAATAAAATGAAAAGTTTTTTTTAACAAAGTCAATGAATGAAAGCAAATACCACTAATGCTAATTGATTAAAAAAAACAAAAAAACTGAACAAACATTTTAAACATTAGGTAGTATAATATGAATGCTTTGTCTTAAAAGGTTACAAATTTTAAATTTTAAAATAAGATTATAAATTTTAAATTTTAAAAATAAAATTTTAAAAATAAGATTATAAATTTTAAATTTTAAAAATAAAATTTTAAAAATAAGATTATAAATTTTAAATTTTAAAAATAAAATTTTAAATTTTAAAAATAAAATTCTAAATTTTTAAAATAAAACTTTACTTTTAAAATTTAAAATAAAATTTCTGACTTTATAAAAGCGCTTTTTTTTTAATCCTCCAGGCGGAATTCCTGCTTTAGCCAATTTGCTGAAAATGGAGAATGATGAATTGGTGTCCATTGCAGCCTCAGTATTATGCAAAATCTGTGAGCATAAAAAGGTGCAGGAAGCGTTGAGTGAGGTGCAGCCTGGACCAACCCTAATCCGTTTGCTTTCTTCCCCCATTGATGACATACAGGCCAGGGTGGCCATCATCATATCAGACCTTGCATCCAATAAAGAACAGAATCAAGTTAATCTGGCTGATCAAGGAGCCATTCCAGCATTAGTCAATTTGCTTGAATCAGAAGTGGAGGATGTTTTGCTTAACACAATCAACGCGATTAGGATTATTTGCCTCAACAATTTAACCAATCAAACAGAAGTGGCTCAATGCAATGGAATTGAAGCCTTGGTCGAGTTCTTAACCATTGGATCAGGTAAGCAGATTTAAATTCAGAAAATAACAGTTTAAAGGAATAAGAGCTCGAATAAGGGGACATAATTCATAAACTCAAAAATAAATCAAATTCAAAAATAATGTTGACTTTTACTGGTTAGCACCATGTTTTACTATACAGAACTTGAGTATTTAAAAAAAAATGACTGCTTACAGCCAAATTTCTAAGAATGTTCAAATTTATTCTGAATACCTCCTGAAAAAACATTGAATGTCATTTAATTCCTGTCAGCTCAATAACTTTGGTTTTTATCTTATGAGTGTTATCATATTTCAAGTAGGGATTGCAGTTGTATGCAGTCAGTATTGGTTCTATAGTCCAAGTACCATTTTATTTAGACATACACCCACTACAAAATGAAAAGTGGCAGAAAGGTGGAAAAGAAAAATTGTTGCCCAAATACTTTTTTTTCCTATATATCTTGTCCCTTCAGGAAGTGGGCAATCATGGCTTACCACAATTTCCTATTCTTTGTAGCTCTTAGCAATCTTTGTCTCTTTACTATCCCCCTCATTCCCTGTACTGCCATCCATTTTTATGAGCTCACTAGGTAGATGATCATGGCTCTCCCCAATTTCCTATCCTTTGTAGCTCTTACTAACGTTTGTCTCCTTACTGTCCCTCCTTGTTCTGTCATCCATTTATACAAGCTTCTTAGGTAAGTGATCATGACTCTCCACAATTTCCTATCTTTTGTAGCTCTTAGCAATGCTTATCTCCTTATTATCCCTCCCATTCCCTGTTCTGACATGCATTTATGTGTACTCATTAGGTGATCATGGCTCTCCCCAATTTCCTATCCTGTGTGGCTCTTAGCAATGTTCACCTCCTTATTATTCCTCTCAGTGTTTAATATTTTTGTTGTAAATTAAGAACAAAATAAAATACATAAATTCACTTTAATCATATGTTTAGGTTTTATTATGATTCTAATCAGTGCTTTTTAAGACAATAAACATTGCCAAGAATGAAGTTTAGCAGTGTCAAGAGGAATATCATCCTTTTGACCTAACATTTTTTTGTGGGTACAAAGGTCCAGGTTTGTTGATTGTTCTTTGATTACACCATCCTTGAACCTCCTTGTTGAAGTTATATTGCTGAGCATATTACAGTTACTTTCAGCTTTTTTTAAAAATTCATAGGAAAGATTTATAACTGTTATAAAATAAAATAAGACATATCTCGGCTGATTTGCAGGCAAATAAACTAACATACTTAAGAGTGAGAGCCGGATGTGAATGGGACAAGGCCCCGTCACAAAATGACCATTATCATCGTCTATGCATAAGCCCGACGCATGAGTTCCGGTCGAAAAATAAAATAATATTTTAAAGTGTTTCTATTTTTCGACTAATAAAAATGCTTCCTTCCTAATTATACTCGCGTCATTTTTCGAGTCTGTTAAGCCATAAAAAACGCCATAAAATGGGTCACATGGGGAAGTACAACAGCAGTCAACAGGAGGCCAGGGAAGAGATGTGTCACGGGCAGTCAGCAGCAGTCAGCAGCAGTAGCGCCACGCCAACCAGCGAGAACTACTATGAGAGATCAACCCAGGTCAGCAGCCGGCTTATGAACTATACCTAAGGGTAGCTGTCCCAAAACCACACGTTCCTTTTGAAATAAATCATGTAAATCTATTTCTGCTGTTGTTGTATTTCTTTCTTGCAACCATATGCTTGTCTATAACATAACTTTGTGGATTTTTTTTTTTACTTTAGAAATGTTGATATTCTTATTTTTAAATAGAAAGAGAGAAAGCAATAATTGATTGCATGTCTCATTTCAAATTAATGATTGTTTTTTATTTGGTTTCTTTTGTTCCATCCACCTGTTACTTTTTCAGATGACCAAATTTTAGAATCTGCTGCTGCAGCTGCTCTGGCTGCAATTTCCCATGGGCACAAGGACAACCAAAATATCATCATCAAGGCAGATGCAGCTCTGTAAGTCTTGTATAATTCCTCAAAATAAATAACATCTTGATAAGTAATCTTCAGTATAATTTATATGGAACACCTTACTTTCTATTAGGCTAGGTTATGTCAGTTTAATGATATAGAACATCTAGTTGAGTTATTTAATGTTGACTATAAGTCTTATAGGACAAATATTACAATAGGTAGATTGACATACGTTTGGTTTTATACTAGAAATAAAAATGTAGACATATATCCAGTTTATACTAATGTCAAAAATGTAGATTTAGGTCTGGTTTCACAATAGAGTCAAAATGGTAGATATATGTTCGGTTTTACACCAGATTAAAAAAAAGTAGACTCAGTTCCAGTTTTATGAAAGAATCAAAAAGTTAGATTTTGGTCTGGATTTATTCAAGTGTTAAAATGGTAGATATATATCCGGTTTAACACCAGATTAAAAAAATTAGACCCAGGTCCAGTTTTATGCAAGAGTCAAAATGGTAGATATATGTTTGGTTTTATATTAGAGTCAAATATCTGACAAGTTGTTCCTTTTTGGGAAGGAGTCTTACTCTTCTGCAGGGTATGCAGTTGGTGTTTTCTAATCCCTGCTGACAGAACATTACTTGCCATTGAAAGGCACCCTATGTAGAACATAGGTCAAAATACTAATCTCATAGATCATTATTTGTGAGTCTCACTCCAGGGGTGGGGGTGGGAGTTTTTCACTATTTGTGTCAGACTAGACTAAGGTTGGTAAATATCTGCATATCTATATAGGACAGCTTCCTTTTATAGATCATTGGCAAAAAAGACTCATCTTGGGATTTTAATTCTTACCTGGAACTCCTATCTTGGAGCCTTGTAACAGACTTGGTAATTTTCTTCATGTCGTGTACACTTGGTTGGCAAAATCTTGTACTCACTTTTGAGTGAGTTTGGTCTTCTTTCAGCAGTCATTATGTGGCTGTCTTCCAGACTAGGATCAGTTGATTAGTAATCTCATATATATATATATATATATATATATATATATATATATATATATATATATAATTATTTATTCAAAATTATAACATAAATATGTTATAAAATCACTACAAAAATAGCCATATTGTTTCAACACTTCTGGTGTCTTATCAAGTTATGAATGTATAATAAAGGGTTTTAAAAAGTTCAAATCAATCAAACACCCCTCTCTAGGGGAAACGCTGTTACATAAGCTGGAGTGATCAATCAAGATAAAACACCAGAAGTGTTGAAACAAAATGGCTATTTTTGTAGTGATTTTATAACATATTTATGTTATAATTTTCGAATAAATAATTATATTTGCTCTACTCTGTATTGAGCACTCTTTTAAGAACAGTATTTGTTGGTTATTGGAATTTATTCCATATACACCAATCCTATACTTGAGTATATATATATATATATATATATATATATATATATATATATATATATATATATATATATATTAGTTAATAAATATTAGGTTAACTCATAAGTAATTTCTCTATTTGGAAACCTATGAAATGATGAATACTGGATGCTAATTGTATGTTGAAGTCAAAAAATAATTTTTTTAGTACACTACCTGAAGTAATGTATCTTAGTTTTTGAATACAGTGGCAGTGTACATGGTGGATTAAAGGAAAAATGTTGTTTTCCTCCATGACAATTCAAAACTTCATACAGCAAGAACAACACAAAACAAAATTTTAGAACTGGTTGGTCTCTTCTACACCATCTATCATATTCACAAGACATTGCACCGACTGATTTCTTTTTTATTGATCAATGCAAAATCTTTTGGTGTAAAAATTTTTTTGTTTTGAAAACCAGATTCATGAGTTTGTCAAAAAGTTCTTCACATCAAAACCCATAAAATTTTATTCAAAATGTATTGATAAGCTACCTGATAAGTGGCATCAAGTCATTGAAAATGATCAGTGATCTGAAAAGGTTTGGTGATGCCCAGCGTCAACGTCTTGATTGTATGCCCCTAAGATACAAGTAGGTGGACCTACTCTGGTCTCGATTATCAAAACATAGATCCACATTCATACCAGCTTGTGTGAGTGTAGGGTGCTTGTATAGCAAAGTTAAAAGGGACAATTTCAAATTTCAAAAATTAAATTTTTATTTAACTCTTTGATTAGATGCCCTTCCATTATAGATGCCATGGGCTTTTGTGCCCTCTGCCCCCACCTGCATGCTACTGCAAATGGCAAATATATAATTGAATAAAATGTAATTGTACTTTATTTTTGAGAAGAATAAAGTTGATAAACAAATATAGTAATTATTTATGACTTAATATTTATACACTAGCAGTATAACCTGTCTTTGCCCGGGTCTTTCATTAATGAAAGTTTTTACTCTTCAGTTGGAGCAATTTAAGTTTAAACTCAGCCTGCCTGAAAATCAATATTAGTAACAACAATTGGGTGCAACTGAGTCACATCCCCAAATGGGGTGGGGGTTAACAATTTGAATGTGGGATGGCCCTGAAAAGGGACGTTTTTGCATTCTCAATCTTGTTTCAGCCTCACACACAGCAGGCATTTCTCTTCAGCTATTGAGTCCTTTGACCATCATTTTCAGCCACACAAACAGAAGCATTCAGGTATGCTCTTCTGGAAAGCCGATGACTGTGTTGATCTTCAGACTTGGTGGTTCTGATTGAAGCATTCCAAGAGGCATTTTGAGACAGGCAAACTGAACATTCTAAAGATGATTCATTATCTTTTATTTGCATGGTGGACCTGGTGGAAGTGGTTTTGTGATGTAGACAAGTTCTTTTCTTTGGTGGCATGTCTTAGGCAAGTATAAATTGTCAAAAGCCACAGGGATCACTAAGCTCAAATAACTTTAGGAAAGTTTGGAAAAATAAATGTTGAGTAATAAAAAAGCAAGCTTACTTATTACTACGGTGAATGCAATGCAAAAACTGGTAGGACAATAAAAAAATTTCATTTGGGAATGGCTATGAATGACAATGAAAGCAATGCCTTAAAACTGTAAAAGTAGGCTTTATGCAATGGAAAAGGTAAATTCACTTGAGAGAGATTGAAACCTTGGCCAAGAGAAGGGGAATGTGTAATTTGGACTCAAAACCGACACTGAAGAATTATCTATATAAAAAAAATATTCATCAAAATAGGATGAAAACTGTGGAAACACATAAACAACATCCGCTCACACACACACACACATACATACACACACATATTTTGAGAATTATAGATATAGATAATATTATTGTAATAATTTAGAGTATTTATTTTTATTAAAGTTTTTATGAAAGATATATATCCAAGAACAGTAAATAGTAAAACATTGCTGAGAGTTATAATGAACAGGAAGTAGTGGAGAGCCATTGTCGCCAACAATTTGGACTCAAAACCGGCACTGAAGAATTATCCATCAAACAAAAAAAATTTCATCGAAATCAAATGAAAACTGTAGAAATACATAAACAACATCCAATCATACACACACACACACGCGCGCATACATACACACACATTTTGAGATTTATAGATATAGATTATGTGTAATACAAGCCCAAGAGTAACTCAAGGTAGAGGATTACTGAATGATGTGTATGATATGAACATAAGAGGAAGAAGTAGGAAGTGAAGATTGAGGATAGATAGTTTGACCTGAAACTTGAAGATGTTAAGATTGTAGAGTTTAGTGAAGCATCCATGTGGGATCTGTAGTAGTTCTTGGCAAGAAGCTATCTGAATAAAACCATCCTTCTTACCACTTTTAGGGGATGAGGGTAATTCAAAACTGTGGATGTAGCAAGGTAGGTCTTGAATGTAAAGGTCTGAACTGGTGGCAGTAAAGAATGGATCTCATTTGAACATTTTCCATGTAAGACTGCATAAAAGGTTTCGAACGTTATCAAGGTTTGAAAGGGAGGATTGGACCCAGATATGGCAGCTCCAGCCCAGAAATGGCAACAATACTCCATTTTTGGTCAAATCTGACTCTTGTGAAGATAAAGCATGACAGAAGAAGTGGTACAAGGATCTGACCATTTTTCCAGCATCTTTAACGATGGATTCTACATGAGTTCCATTTGAGGTCTTGGATGAACTTGAGTCTCAATAGATGTTCACGCAAAGAGCCTCATTGAGAGTGCAACCGTTCATGACGACTGGAGTAAATTCAGGGTTTGGCTTGGTGATGAAACAATTTTGTCCCCTAGAGTTGTGAGTTCAATCTCTTCACTGGGTTATGCAGAGGCTTACTTTTTTTTTAGAAAAAAAGAAGTGTCATGTCAAACAGAGAAAACATTTCAGTAGAACACCAGACATGATGGAATAATGGAATATTGAGGAATTGGAGAGCTGAGTTTGAATTCCACTCGAATCCATTACATTCATTCACTTACGTGCTAATACCCTTGGGAAAAGTATGAATCCTCTTCTTCTCCCACCAGCTATGGGTAAATAGCAGGACAGACCAGGTTCTATAGCCTTGGATGTTAACTGATCTACCGCAGAAAGAATTGGCAACCTACTGTAGGAAAAAATCTGCCTTTTCAGTCATGCATCGAAAGATACATGATCGCCTAAGTGTGTATCACGCATGGCACATAACTGACTGACTAGTTTTGATCAGAATATGTTTTACACTAGGTGCCTTTGTTGTCTTTGTATTGTGAAAGTCCTTTCTTTCTTGATTTGCTAGGCCTTTGGTTGAGTTGGTTTCCAGCCGAAATCTCCCCCTCCAAATGAAAGCTGCTCGTGCCATTGAAGCTTTGGCTGATAATAATCCTGAAAATCAAAGAATTTTTATCAATTTAGGCACCGTTCCAGCCTTGATCCAACTTCTTAAGGTGAGGCCAATTAAAATCATTTACTTCTTGTTGCCTTTTTCAGATTTACCAGTGAATAATAACAGTAGCTAGCTGAAACATTCTGCCAGTCTTGGTAACTAAACTTATCTATTATCACATGACTATTTTCTTCTCTTACTCTTTACCTGTATCTTCTCATTCTATCTCTTATCCTTTCCAATCTTTGTTGATTGTCAATCATTTTATCTAAATGTTATGTAAACATGAACTGGTTTCAAATGTGAAAAAAGAATCAGAAATATTCTCTTATAACACAATTAAGGCCATAGGTGTATAGCAGCAGGCGTATATAATGAGGGTCACATGACTAGCCAAATATTGTGCATACGAAATGGGGAAGAGGAAAGAATGTTAACCCAATATATAATCTGTTGGGTAAGCTAAGATTAATCTGGCACCGAATTAAACCATGGGAAAGAGACAGAAAGAATGTGCTGCATCAGTTTCCAAATTGAAGAGATTGAACCTGCCCTGAAAAAATCCTAGCTATCAGTTATGAGTTTGAATTGCTTGTTCATGCTTTTTTCAGACCCAGATTGTTTGGGATCTTCCACTATGAAGACTGAACCTTGGTTTTGGGGTCAAAGTCATAGACCTATGATTCGTCATCTGTTATGACTATTTTCACAAAGTTTTCTGTGATGTGATGATATGACCACACTCTACACATTTTCCTTCCAAACAATGAAAGTGAGTAAGAACATTATAATTTAATGTGCATGACGTGTGATAGATTTCAAGGTCAATCTGTACCAAGTGGATTCACTCTATGTACTTTAGCTCCATTACCATAGCAACAGTCCCGATACTTTTAGATCAGACCTTGTAGATACATACTAAGTCTTAGTTTGGCACAAGGTCATATAGGTGGAAATGGAGATAAGAAGACTGTATTGCATCAGTCTTACGAGTGTAGTATGTGATTCACACCAGGAAATACCAGATGGTCTGAAATGAATTGTCAATAAGGAGCCTTTGTTCTAAGAGAAGTTAATTTGTAGGTGACCCCAATATGTACTTGCCTCACCTGAAGCAATACAAGTATTAAACCAGAAGATCAGAGGAGCCAGGTGAATTAGTGGGTTGACCAGGAAAGTGGTCACATACCCAACAGGTATAAAATCACATCTTAAATGATGTTATTGGCTCTTCCCTACATGTAAGCAGCTGGTTGACATATCTGGGTTTATTATGTGCACATGTAGGACAGTTGGATGGCAAAAGATTATATGGGAATCACACTGAAATGGAAAAATACTTTCACATCTGCATGATGAGAAAATTCAAGTTTGAAAAATGTTCCCCTTCCTAGTCACATACCCTCACAGCCAATCAGTCTTTTGAACGAATGTTGAGGTTTAGGATTTGGTTTCTGATTCCTTCTGAAGTCTAATTCAATTCTGTACTTCTAACGTCTCTGACTAAATTTTATTTACTATTTATTTATTTATTTTCCTCAATAGGAGTAGATAGGTTCGCCTATCGCCCAGTTCACACTCCTTCCTGGTCTTTTGAACAGAGACAGAGGTTTATCCATAGTTTCCTGTTTAGAATTGGTTTTCTGATTTCTTCTAATGTCTTCTTCAATACTGTACTTCTAATGTCTCTGGCTAAACTCAGAAATTTTATTTACTATTTATTTTTCCTCAATAGGAGTAAATGTGTTCATCTATCATCTGGTTCACACTCCTGCTCGGTCTTTTGAATAGAAGTAGAGATTTAGCCATTGTTTCCTGTTCAGGATTGGGTTTCCGCTTCATTATTAAGTTTTTCATTCACTTTAACTCAGCGTAGGCCCTTGCATCTTAGTGGCATTATCGCCTAGCTTGGGGTGAATTGATTAAAAAGGAAAACATTAACAAAGTCCAAGGGGGAATAAACAATAATTTAATGAATAAAATATTTAGCTCTGTATTCTTATACATCTTTACAAAGATATCATTATACAGTGATGAAAGTTTGCTTGCTCTGAGAATCAGCATTCAAAATCTTGGCTTCTTATCTGGTCAGTCAAGTAAACTGTCAGATACAGTGGCTGTGAAAGGAAATCAAGGTACAAACAAAATGACCATTTCTCTTTCCAGAATATTAATGAGGCAACAAGAGAGCAAGGTGCTTGTTCTCTTTGGTCCTTGGCTGGCCACACACGACCACAACAGAAACTGATTGCCAAAGAGATTGGAATCTCAAACATTATTGAGATGTTATTGGAAAAGAAATCTGAAAAACTACTGCTTGTTGGTAAGTTTATTCTCTTTAAAGTTCAAATTTCAACCATTAAAGTTTATTTTTTTAAATCTTGGAATTTTATTTTATTTTTTTTTTCATTTTTTATCCTGTGACAAACTGTTTCACATCTGAACATTGCTACTGTGGATAGGATAATTATTTTATCAGAAACTTTCAGAATAAAACGAAAGGGTTTTTAAAGACTCGGGGGTTAAAAATAAATGACATATTTTTATTTGTTTGCTTAAAGTGATGAGTGCGTTCTTTGGTATTCGATGTAGCAAAAAAGTTAGTTACTAAGGAAGATATTGATAGCAGTCTGAAGAAATGTCCACTTCTGTAGTTGGAAGTCTGACCATGATAGGGGTAGTAGTAATGTCAGAAATTTGGACAGGTGTCAATTTGCTGTGTTTTCTCTTTGCACATCACACATGGCTGTGTTCTTTTGTTCTGTTTATCCTGGTGTTGTTTTGGTCTCCTCTTTGCTTTTGGCCTAGAGGTGTCAGGATTATATATATTTTTTGAGTAGGCCTGAGATAATTTGGCACAAACATCAGAAAGTCTCTTTGCGTCAATTTTTTTGATTGGCCAAATTATTTTATTTTCTGGCATTACTTTTCATTTTTTTTTATAATGGAAGTTATACATGGAGCCTCCCTGATTTTAGGTATTTTTCAGTCACAAATAAGTAGGCTTGGCTCCTGCAAACATTTTTTTGGCAGGTTTCAGTGTTTTCTTCTTCCTCTTTTTATTTGAGGGTTGTCTTCTCCTAGGTTGAGAGAAGTATAGAAAGAGAAGTTTAAAGAGATGAAGAAAGAAAGAGAGAAGGGTTTTAAAGGAAAGCCCAAATGCATTATTTTAATTTGAATTATGTTTAATATTATTTGCTAGAGACATAAGAATCAAGCAGGTCTTCTTCTATATGCTGTGTCAAATCAAGATGCAGCAGACATGGCTCTCCACAACTTTGTAGCTCTTAGTAAGGTTTGTTTTTTCGCTATCACATAAAAATTTTAACTCCTTACCAAATCTAAATAAAAACCTAGTTAGAATGAATAGAAAATTGTATAAAGGTTATTTACCTTACCTCCCCATAAGGCAGGATGTGGCATAAGGGCGTATTTAATGTGGGGAAAAAAAAAACCCCAAGCCTTTAGGCTTGGGCAAAAATTCCCCGTAGATCCCATATACATGGGGTCGGGTAGCTGTCTACCATCCCAGACGAGACTCTGCCCTTACCATACCCTCATCTGGGTTTCTTTTTGCCCGAAGTCCAATGTTGTATAAAGCACAATTAACAAATAAGACTCAACCACTTCATAAAATTTTAATGGACAAACATTTATTATTACAGAATACTGAAAAGGGAAAAATACAAATATTTACATATAAGACTCTTGCACAAGTATCTGTCTATATTTCTGAGATGAGGTATTATGCACACTATTTACATTATTTGGACTATTGCCCTCATCTTTGTTACCATATTTATTACAATGTTTCGGCCATTCAGTATCTGTCTATATTTCTGAGATGAGGTATTATGTACACTATTTACATTATTCAGACTATTGTCCTCATCTTTGTCGCCATATTTATTACAACATTTTGGCCCTTCAGTATCTGTCTATATTTCTGACATGAGGTATTATGTACACTATTTACATTATTCAGACTATTGTCCTCATCTTTGTCGCCATATTTATTACAACATTTTGGCCCTTCAGTATCTGTCTATATTTCTGACATGAGGTATTATGTACACTATTTACATTATTCAGACTATTGTCCTCATCTTTGTCGCCATATTTATTACAACATTTTGGCCCTTCATTATCTGTCTATATTTCTGAGATGAGGTATTATGTACACTATTTACATTATTTGGACGATTGTCCTCATCTTTGTTGCCTTATTTATTACAACTTTTCGGCCGTTCAGTATCTGTCTATATTTCTGAGATGAGCTATTATGTACACTATTTACATTATTTGGACTATTCTCCTCATCTTTGTTGCTATATTTATTAGGTTCTTACTTTCCGTACAAACAAATATTTTTATTTCATGGATGACTTTGCTGGATTTTGCAATTAATTTTGATTATTCTCAAATTTATTTTCAAGTTATAAAAATTGTTATCATACAAAAGAATAAAAATATCGCCATAAACAATTGCAGTAATGAAAACTTGGGAATCCAAAATTTCTGTAACATGAGCTATTAAAAATTAGAGAATTGTATCCCTTTAATTTAAAAAGTGTGACTCAGTGACACACTGACATTCACATTTATTATATAGATATTGGTTTAGCGAGTGAAAGAGATTGAAAAGAGGTTGAAGTTTGAAGTGTCTTCTGAAGTCAAGCAAGTAACTCGTTTCATTTGGCCACATGGAAAAGTTGGGAATAAATGTATTCTAGAAATTTCAACTCACTTTGACTGAGTGTCTTTCTAGTTTCTGTTTGCTTTAGAACTTCCTTGTTGCTCACATGTTTTGTCTATGGTAGGCTTCAGATTTACATACACAAATTTATTTGTGTTTATGCGTGTATGTTTCTATATGCATATCTCCGATGGTTGCTCCTTGTCATGGTGAAGGGTCTTAGTCCAATGACTCTGAGAGCAATGCTGTCAGAAGTTCTAAACTTCTGGTAGGGCCACTCTTGGTGGCAAGGTCAAAGACATGGATCCAGACTAAGCATCACCAACCCAAAAGATCTCAACAGTGGAACAAGATGACGCTTAGAACAGATCTTAATAGTTGACCCTATGGATGATGAGGGCTACACATGATGGACATGCTACCAAAGGCATCATTCAAAAGTCAGCAGCAGTCTGTTGCAGTTTCATAACTAGTTTCTGCATATCTCATTCCATATGTGCCACAAACGAAGGTCATGAAATCAAGTGTACGGGTCACTTTCTGGCAAGCTGAGGTACAACTTAAGCAAATTCATGTCATCGGCACTTTCTTCTACTCATATTTTCTTTCACCTCAAACCAACTCTTGCAAAGCCAAATGGTAATAAGGAATGCATGATGGAAACATGTTTTGGTGAAACTGGAAACTTCTAGTTCTGAAACTGTATGTTCGCAGAGAATGTAATCATCAATACCATAATCACAAAGGAAGTGATCAGCAAAGAAGAAATTGAATTCTTGAACATGGGATAACTTAGGATGGATTAGGATCCATCTGTAGAACTAAATCTCTGTCTCTTTAAGGATATTCTTTATCTGTAGGGAAAAGCACTCACTGTTATTCAGAAGGATAGATATGATATTGCAGTTCATCGCTCTTTGTTTCTAACAAAATATTTCTGTGTTATAAGACTTTTCTTAGTTTCTGGAAGGCTTCTTTCACTATTCTGATGTAATTTTGCATCTCTTTATCACATATTTTCATAGATCCTGTAACTGAATTATGTGCTTTGCTTTCATTTGATCATGTTTAAAATATTTTACTTTGAACATAATATTATTGCCTTTTGTTGTTGAGCTACCCTGTTGAATGTATCACAGTATATTCATACTGATAAAGAAAATGGTAAAAGAAATTATTTCTTTATTTTTGTTCTTGTTGAGGCTGCCTGACTGCAATTGGGCTCATCAGAGAAGATATGGAACTCCAGAACAAACTGGTAAAAGCTGATGTCTTGCAGCAGCTGGTAAGGTTGTTGAGGTGGACAAATATTTCTCAACAGGCGATTATGATGGTCATTAAAGTCCTAGGAGCTTTGTGTATAGGTAAGTGTAGGCGGTATAAACATATTTCTGATTTTTAATCAACTAGAAATTTTTTAAAAGTTTTTGTCTTCATGTGATAATGTAAATATGGAACCCATGTTTCTCCACATATGGAATGATTCTAGAGCTTTTTAAACTTTTTGAGGTGGGTGTGCAAATGGTGTAATCAATATGGCTTGGAATGAGAAATCAAAGAGGCAAGTTCAAATTCCACTTGTGCTGGTTACATTCACTTACACACAAATGCCTTTTGGAAAGATATGAATTTATATCCCCCTAGCTATGGGTTAAATAGTTGAACTTGTATCTGGAAAAAATCATTGCTTTTCTCAAAAAAATTGTTGACTTGTTCACTTTAAAAAATTATTATTACAATCCAAGATATATTTCTGGATTTTCGGCCACATTCTCATGCACTGCAGCTATGTTTTCAGCTGAACGGCGTAAACGAGCGTGCAATGGCATTTTCACATCTGTCACCAAATTGATAAATTTGATAAAATCTACCGTTTTGGAGTTATTGACAGTAAAAGTTATGATTCATTTATGTTGTTGACATAACAAGGTAGTGACATATGTGCACTGGAAGATATGCAAGAAGCACAAAATCAAAACCACTAAGAGATGGTATGGCCTAACCAACCAGACACAGTTACCCAAAATAACAATGTAACTATCCTCTGGGACATGCCAATTCAAACTGACAGGGAAATAAAAGCCAACAGACATGATATCATAAAAGACAAGAAATTCTGGAAGTCTATGCTTACTGACATAGCAGTACTATCTGAGAAAAACACTTATCGAGAAATTGTCCAAATACAAGGACCTGGAGATTGAGATTAACAGGATGTGGGAAATGAAGACTGAGACTGTACTAATAGTAATCAAAGCTCTGGGCCTTGTGAAAAAAGGAATGGACAATTTTACTAACAGTGTCCCAGGTAACATCAACATACAAGTTGCCAATAAGATCACCCTACTAGCAGCATCCCGTATACTAAGAAAAGTGCTATCAATTAAATGGCAATTCACCTATAGGGCCTAAAGACCATAGTTTGAACCTGGGTCTACAGGATACAAAGCAGGAAACATAACATACACAAATAATAATAATATTAATAATTAATTAATTATAATTGTAATACAGGAATTATTATTCTTATTCTATATTGCAGGTGTGGCTTACACCAATAACTTATATACCCAGAATAAAATTGCAGAAGAAGGTGCTCTGCCAGCTTTGGTTTACTTGTTGAATGAAATTCAGTTGGAAGAGATGCAAATTGAAATTCTGACAACATTGGGGTGTATTGTACTCCAGAACCCTGAAAACCAACAGATGCTGCTTCAGCAACCAAACTTTACCTGGGATTGCCTTCTCCATCATCTCAAATCTCCTGACAAGGTAAGTTGAAATGTTACTGCATTTAATACAATATCGGAAAGTATCTGAATTTGACTTAAAAATGGTATATCGTGATTCTAGCAATCAACATATTTCACATATTATGAGGGTAGGTCAAAAATTATCTGTACCTTTGGCATAACATATCTTTAGCTTTGTTACATTACCTTCTGCTCATGCATGCTTATAGTTAGTACTATTGTGATCAGGTGATCTAAGTTTGATCACACCAGTTTTCTTGCTACTGTTACAGTGCAAACATGGCCACTTTGCTAGCAGTGTGCACCAAGAAGAAACAAAGAGCAGTGATCAGAATCTGCAGAGAACATACTACATCAATGATAACTCACCGGTTTGGCATTACCATCTCTAGAGCTTACTGAATCTTTTCATCAGTGGCGGATGTTGGCATCTGTCCTGCTCCTTCTTTGTGCATCATCCATCCACTTTTAAACTTCCCGATCCATTTATTCACACTTCAGTCTGGTAGTGCCCTGTCGCTGTATTCTGTTAAAAGACTGTTGAATTTCAGCTCCTGACACAACTTCCAACCAGAGAAATCAGATCACTGCTCTTTGTTCCTTCTTGGTGCACACTGCTAGCAAAGTGGTCATGTTTGCACTGTAACAGCAGCAAGAAAACTGGTGTGATCAAGCTCAAACTTTAGATCATGTGACCATAATAGTACCAACTATAAGCATACATGAGCAGAAGACAATGTGGCAAACCTAAAGATAAAGGATAGATATGACATAGCAGTTCAGCACCCTATTCTTTGCTTGTAACAAAATATTTCTATATCTAAGATCTTTGCTTATTTTCCAGAATACTTCTTTCCCTATTCTGATACAATTTTGCATCTCTGTGTCACACTTTCTGTCACCTGTTAGCAAGATAGTTAAATTTTTGTATCTACAGGATTTTGATGTCTCCAATTCAAAGCAAATTCTTTGGTCCAGAACCTCTTGTTGGCATCAATACATTCTGTCTTTTACAGTTAATAGTTAATCCTTTCTATTTGCTTTCTTTTGTTACATTCTCAAGGAGACTTTGCAGCTTTTCTTCTAAATTTCTTACCAGCATTATCAATTATATTAGTAATATAGTGTAGTCATAGATTTTAGGTATGGGCTTGAAATAAGCTTTAAGATATAAAAACAAAATTCCTTTTCATACAACCTTGTTGTGATCTGTCTCCTGAGAAAATACATTGCCTCTCTTGAAAATTTACAATCTAAATTGTAGACTAACTGAAATCCAACACTGACTGATGACACCCATAGCCAATCTCACTAGATAGATAGATAGATAGATAGATAGATAGATAGATAGATAGATATTGACATTAGATTGAGAGACATGTAGATAGATACATTGCAATAATTCGGAGGTGGGTAGATAGATAAATAGATGGCTAGATAGGTAAATATAGGCATTATGAGAATTTTGAGATAGATAATGAGATTATATGGATAGATAGGTAGATAGATACATCATGAGGATTCTTAGATAGATAAATAAATAGATAGATAGATGCATTATGAGAATTCTTAGATAGATAGATAGATAGATAGATAGATAGATCAGACTTGCACAACATTGTGGTCAACAAAAACAAAATGTCAGTTGCAACATTTAACACCAACAATCTGTTGATGTTGAATGTTACCAGATAATTTATTGCTTGTTTAATGCTATATTTATGAATATTAAAATACAAATTATTTGTTCTGTGACACGTTGTGCCCATGGCATGTGCCTGCCTTGACTTATCCTAGTTAGTCCATTGAGGATAAGAATAGACAAACTTTTCTAATTGATAGATATGTAGATAGATACATTACAATAATTCTGAGATAGATAGATAGATAGATAGATAGATAGATAGATAAATGCATTATGAGAATTTTGAGATAGATAGATAATGAGATTATTGGATAGCTAGGTAGATAGATACATCATGATAATTCTGAGATAGATAGATATTAGATGAATAGATAGGTAGATAGATGTATTACAAGAAATTTGATACATGTATATATATATATATATATATATATATATATATATATATATATGTATGTATGTATGTATGTATGTATATATATATATATATAGTAAACCTAAAACCAGACAAAGCTACCTAGGTTTCACCTATGCGGATTGTCAGGGCGGATCGTCGGTGAATCTTACGGTTTTAAGACCTATCTCCACCCTCCCTAGCCAGTCCGCCCTGATGATCCACATAAGTGAAACCTAGGTAGGTTTGTCTGGCTCTTTAGGTTTACTTATTTTGCTCTACTTAGCGTACTGAGCACTTTGTTTAGTTATTTTTACTTTACTTGTGTCAGAGGTTTTTTTTTGGGGACTCTGAACTTAGAATCTAGACAATTATTTTCACCAGAAGTATATGTTCTCAGTTCTTTCTTTTTTTTCCCCTTTTTTCCCCTTGGGTATTGGTTTGTTGATTTACAAGCTAAAACACTTAAGGTTTTGCTGGACGAGTATAGATGCTTATATTTATAAGTTTAGTAGTTTTATATATATATATATATATATATATATATATATACTTAGATAGATAGATAGATAGATAGATAGATAGATAGATAGATAGATCAAATTATGAGAATTATGAGATACATAAAGCGAATAGATGGATAGTTAGGTAGATAGATAAATAAATCACAACTGCATAACATTGGGTTCAATGAAAACAAAATGTCAGTTGCAACATTTGACACCAACAATCTGTTGATGTTGAATGTTGCCAAATGCTTGTTTAATGTTATATTTATGAATATTAAAATACAAATTATTCATTCAGTGACACGTGGTGCCCATGGCCTGTGCCATCCTAGCCATACCCTACTTAGTCCATTGAGGATAAGAATAGAAAAACTTTTCTAATAGAGTTTATTTCCATGTTAACATTATGAACAATAGACCTTAAATTTTAGTCATGTGATTCCTTCTTTATTTCAGAATATCCGTCTGCGATTGTGTATGGCATTGGCTATTTTTTCATTCAACAATATTTCACAGCAACTGGCCATTCGACAAGCTGGAGGAATCAGTTTCAGCATCTTTGAGGAATTTCTGGAGTCTTCAGATCTTTATTTCCAGGCTTATGCTGCTTTTCAGGTATTTTTTTGTATGACAAGAAATGGAAGCTATACTTGATGCTTTAGTAATGTTAGTTAATATGCCACAATGATGTGTGTATAGATGGTATGATATGTTATTCAGGGGAGAATGAATGTCATTTGCCTGAAAACTGTTATGATTTGTGGTTCAGTTTAGTCAATCCTAATGAATGTCATTTGCCTGAAAACTGGTATGATATATGGTTCTGGAGAGGCAATCCTAATGAATGTCATTTTACTTGAAAACTGGTATGATATATGGTTCAGGAGAGACAATCCTAATGAATGTCATTTTGCCTGAAAACTGGTATGATATATGGTTTAGGGGAGGCAATCCTAATGAATGTCATTTTACTTGAAAACTGGTATGATATATGGTTCAGGAGAGGCAATCCTAATGAATGTCATTTTGCCTGAAAACTGGTATGATATGTGGTTCAGGAAAGGCAGTGGCAGTTATAACAATGAATGTTCTTTGTCTGAATACTGAAGTTGTTGTTGAATGTTCAACTTTGTTGAATGGGTCATTTCACCGAAAAATAAACAATTAGCAAATAAATGTAGATAAATTTTATATCTGAATTGTGCTTTTTTAAATTATGCATCATTCAAAGAAAAATGTTATTTATTTATTAAATTTATTTACTGTTATAGCAACATCAATAATAATGAACATGATAATAATTGTAAACACTTCTGGTGCCACAGAGGAATGCTGGAAGCAAGACAGATCCAGTTTGAATAATAAAGTTGTTAATGTCTTGTGTCATCTTGGTGTTGTTTCAACTTTCCACCCTAAGCCCAGTGAAACATTTATGATGATGAATACCTTCTTCTCCATAAATTCATCACTAAAATTATCATTCACATAATAATTTTGCTTAATATTTTGGGTTTATTCTAGGAATATGTAAAAACGAGTGAAAACAAACCCATTTAAATATTTGTCTTATCTAAATAGGTGTGTAAATGAATTAAATACTTTCTGTATTAATTCCTATTAATCTTTTTATTTATTTTCATGTTTATACTTTTAGTAATTTTTTTATTTATTGTGACGTCGCCCCCTGGTCGCAGCGCCAACTGTGACGTTCTATTCTGGTCTACCACGGCACCAACTGTGACGTAGCTAAACAGCACCAATTGTGATGTCCTCGCCGCGGCGCCAGCCGTTCGCTCCTCGCTGCTCCGTTCGGGTGTCGCTGCTCCAAACGTGACGTCCGCCTGTCGCGTCAGTCGTGTTGTCTCGTCCTGTGACGACCAACTGGCTTGGTATCGGTCGTGGCACCCAAATGTGACGTTTTAACCTTTTGGTGATTCGGGTGGAATCTGGTTAGATTTGATATCAGCCTCGTCGTTCCCAACTCGCTTCCAACGCCTGGTTACCAAGGTAACTGCATTGATCTCCAGTCTGCCTACCCACGTTGTGAATTGATCTTAGGCAGACGAGATCAAACAGTGGTTGGGGCCGTAATGCAAACCGAGTTCAACGGGGTGATAACACAAAATATGCATGAAAGAAAATAAAATGAAAACTCAAAAGTTCAAAGTATCAAAGAAAAAGGTAACAAACTTTTATGTCTAGTTGTTTCGATACATAGGACTGCATCTATCTCCCGACCCGTTCTATGGATTGTGACACGTCGTTTTCCGTTAGGCAAGTTTTAACGCTTCAAGTTGTTTGCTCTCTAAGAAATTGGTGTTTCGGTGTGTCTTTGGACGAAAGTCGAAAAAAACTTATTGTGGTGGTCTGGATCTAAGTCGCTCTTCAAAATAATTGTTCTTGGGTTGAAGAGGAGTCCGGAATTTGCGTGAATCTTGGTCAGCTATCTGCGAGGCGGCTTCAACTGGAGACTGACTCTTCGCTGCAACTCCAACTCAAACTGAAATTGAACTGGAACTCACTGGAACTGATTTCTGCTCATTGTGGCTTCATTATATGGACGCCGACCAAAAACCGGGGTGGGTCTGTCGGCGTCGGGGTTTCCTCGATAATTCTAAATACATATCCACCTCTCTGGTTAGGACTTTCCACTTTTTTTCCATTTTTGGGAACCTTTCCTCACTCCCACCTTCTCACCATACTTCAGAGGGCGTGAAATGCCCTCCCCACTTCTTCGTAGCAGCTTCTCATACCTACACTCTGGATGGGCGGCGACAGCCTCCTTCGTGCGTCACGTGATCACCACTTGACCAATGATGTCTTAGTCGGGCGTGGACGAATCCGCGGCTTTGTTTCGGAAAAAAAATATCTTGCTTAACTAAAAAAAATTATCTTTCCTCCTCCTTCGTGCGTCACGTGATCACCACTTGACCAATGATGTCTTAGTCGGGCGTGGACGAATCCGCGGCTTTGTTTCGGAAAAAAAAATATCTTGCTTAACTAAAAAGATTATCTCTTCTATTTTCCTTTTCTTCCTCTTAATCGCCGTTATCATTTCTCTAGCCGCAAACGGGACAATATGAACAATGGCGGTCATAACTCTTGTTCTACACGTAGTTTTCGTCAGGTATTTTACCGCTAATTATCCGAATGGGTGGTCTTCTTAACACGGCCAACGTCGCCCCGAAAAGACATTTCTAAATTCCCATTCATTTCCCTTCGGTACATATTTCTGATAACATAATTTTATTATCGCAGGCCAAGGATGTTCCGTCGAAGGAAATCGGTCAGCGGACAATCGTGGGTGGCTTTTAATTTTTTCATATCTGTCCAAAGTCCTTTTAGTTGCCTGTTTTTCGTCACTTATCGAAATAACATTTTCATTTGAATTTTTCTTAGGCCAGTCGGTCTGTAGTTGATAATAAGATTTTCTTTTTCTGCCTCGTTAAATGGTGCCACATTATATTTTATTTTCATTACCTGAAAAAATGAAAAAAGTCAATTTCCTGTCTTTAATTGATTTCAACATTAAATAAACCAAGTGAATTGTCAATCATTCATTATCTTAAATAATCAACAGTGAAATTAATGAGTGTAATTTTTAAACTACATAATTTAAAAAAAAAAAGCACCATTTAGTTATCTCCCTTTACTTTTCTGTTTGTTTGTTTTTTTTGGTGAAGGGAACTATTCAACCAAGGAAAAATTCAATTTAATGCTTTCAGCGAAGCCAGTTAACAGACAAATTCACTGTTAAGAAGTGGAGCTGTGGTTAAGTCTGGTCACAAATCTCAGTTGTATTGTCTGCTATTTGGACCAAGGCAGGAAATGGTGGCAAGGCACATTTAAAGTTATTAGATCAGAGGTTCTCAACTAGAAGAGACCTCCGGAGGAGACCCCCCACCCACTTAGAGAGGAACATCCCAGAGGGGGAATTTTAGCATTTCAGAGAGAGAGGGAAGAGAAAAATCTTTTACTTTTTCTTGTTTTTTTTTTACAGAATTTTGTTTATTGAATTACAATGACCTGTCATTCTGTTGAACATTTTGTTTCTTGAAGTATGCTTCAGTTTATTCATTTAATACTTGGTTATATTTTTTAATTATTTCACCCAAGAAAGGCAATAAAGTCACTAGGATGCAAAGGGTTACTGAGTGTTAGAGAATATGAGAAAAAAATACTATTAAGGAAAGAGAACAATAAAAGAACAGGAATTAAGAATTAAGATAATGATTCACATTTTATTTAAATTTTTGAAGATCAAGTTGACTGAGAAGCAAGAACCTGAAAGAGATTTCCACAAGCAAGAAATACAATGGCAGAAACTGTTATTATAGTATTTACAGTTACATCTAAATATATCTAGAAAATTATAACTTACTGTGCATGCATGTTGAAGGCCTGTCCGGGCCAAGCAGTTTCACTGTGTGTACTTTAGCTTCATTACCAAAGCAACAGGCCTATTACATTCTGATTAGACCTTGTATGTTTAATTTGATTTATTTTGTACTTTTCCAGATTGTAGTTCTTGCTCGTGTCATAATTGGTCGCAGTCCTGTCTTCCTCACAGCTTCAGGCATTTCTCTTCTGGTACGGATATTAGAGTCTGCAGATGACGATGTGGTTGTGTTGGTGGCTAGCCTTTTGTCCAGCCTGGCACACACAAGGGCTGGTATCACAGATGCGATGGTCACAGTTGGCCTCCTTGACTTGTTGGTCAGCAGGTTGTCCACCTCAGAGAATTCTCAGGTGCGAAATGCTGTAGCTGTGACACTTGGTTACCTGACATTCAATCCAACAGCTGCACGACTTTTATTTGCAACCTGCAGGAATATTCCTGGTTTATATAACAGACTCATGAAGAATATTGGTTTTCATCCGAAAATTAACAGCAAATTTGAGGACAATTTCAGACGAGCTCGTCTTGTTGGCTTACCATCTCAATGGTTGGTTACATTTGGTTTTTCATATTATAATACATGGAGGGGTATAAAGATATACAAGTGGTGCATCCAGTAAGGATTGAACTCATGGAAGTAGTAATTGTTAAGTACGACTGGGTTGCTAATTATTGCTAGCCTGCTTTCCTTTGTTTGGCTTGGTTGTTTTAATTTAGTGGCATATCAACCTCTGTCGATCATTCAATAGGCAGTTAATTTGAAAGTTGGGGTTTGTCATGATTAATAAAGAGACAAAATAATTTTTAACAAATTGTTACCGTTTTTTGAGGAAATGAATTTAAACATTAAGTTTAGGTTTAAAATCGAAGCATTGGAATTTCATTTTGGCTATCAGTGAAAGCCTCATACATAGCCTTATGAAATTTATGAAGTTTTACAAATTGTATAAGGATGCATGACACAAACACATTATTACCAAATCATTGTGCCATCAAATAAGACCTTCATTCACTTCAAAGAGAAAATTATACTGAACAATTTAGCTATATTATAATGTAATATATTATACAGTGCAGGAGTTTTAGCACGATTTTCAATAAATAATGCAAATTTAAAACATTTTGTAATTTCTGCCCAGAAGTATTATGGCGTTATATAAACTTTTATCTATTTTTCTTTTATTAATTACTAGCAGTAGAGCCCGGCGTTGCCCGGGGATGTAACAGTAAGAGATAGATCAAGTATCGACCATCATAAAGACTGAAAAATAAAATTGACAAAGATTATTGTTTAAGGTTGACGGACACGTGTCTTAATTAGTTTTTTTTTTTTTTTTTGTTTTTGTTTTTTTTTTTGTTTTTTACGAATTGGTCAAACCCAAACTCAAACAAAAACATTGTTTTCAATCGTTATGAGTCTATCGATTGAATAGAATTTTATTACAAACAATTGTCTTATAAATGGAAATTTTTAAAGCATTCTGAATGTAAAAATAAAGAAAAAGTGTGCAAGACAATAAGAAACACTACCTGCCAAAAAAAGTGAAGTTTTGTTGAAATCAGTTGAAAAATGTAGGAAATCCTATCCAATATATAAATGAACACACACACACACACACACACACACACACACAAACAACCTGGGTTTTATAATAAGTATAACTCGATATGAGTTGTCCCCCTTTCATTCTGGCGACAGTGATGCCTCTTAATCGTGTTTTCAAATTGATTTCGTGCCAAAACAATTGTGTTTTCCAATTTTTGGCACTGTCAGAACCACCGCAAGGTAATTTTACGCAGTCCTGTGAAATTTTGTTGAAATCGGTTGAAAAATGTAGGAAATCCGATCCAATATATAAACGTACAGACACACACACACACACACACACACACACACACACACACACACACACACACACACACACACACACAATCTGCGTTTTATAATAAGTAATATGATTTAACATATCATCTAACAAATCTTATTCATTGAGTAACCTTTTTGTAATCTTTTACAATTTTTTTACACCATTTACACTTATCGAATAGAGTAAAAAAATGCATGTTTTGCTTGTGGTGATACATAATCGAGATTCTGGTTTGAATATATTTTCCATTCAATGTATCTAATACATAAAAATACCAACTTTATTTGAATTTATTCTTGAAATAGTAAAATTTTGGAGTCTGGAACCAAAAAAGTTGTGTAAATTTTTGTACATTGTTAAGATGACCTTTAAAACTAAATGCTCAAAAGTAGAAAAAGTTATAAATCTAACTTTTGGTGTCAGTCCTTATCACATCAAACCTCAACTTTTCCATCAAGTGCAATGTTGATTTTCTAAATCCACACATACGCATGTGAAAGCCCACACTAAATTGACATTGTATTACATCTTAACCTCATGGAGAGGTGAATGAATACTGCGATCAGTCACAGAGTTGGCCATTTAGCTTTTTTGGAAGCAGATTTAATTCGTTTTCAGTGCATTCAGCTCTTGTAAATCATCCTCTATATCTTTTTCCTATTAATTAAAACAAGCTAAAAGAAAGAATGAAGAAAAGAAAGTGTTGGGTTATTTTATAAAAGCTCCCTACCTCAAAGAACTCCCAAAGAAGTATAGATAAAGCTACTAAAGGAAAATGAAAAGAACGGTGCCAAAATATATTTACCATTTTTATCAAATGCAACAATGTAAAACAACAATGTAACATGACATAAACATGGTATTTGTGCTACACAAGATTACTATCAATTCGTTAAGCTGAGATGAGGTGGTCAACTATCATCTATGAATGTCTTTGTTCCCCAGGGTGTGAGTCTGGAAATTGGTTGCAGCATGTGTTGTTCTAACCTCTTCTCAGGTCTGGACTCATATCCAACTCTCACAAGGGCATTAATCCATCTCGTTCATCCCTAGAGTGCCAAGAGCATTAACTCACCTCACTTATGTGCTTGCTAGGTGGAGTGTTCTATCTAAAAACCCAACAAAAGAAAGGAAAAATAAAAATAAAAGGAACAAAAAAGAATTTGGTATTGAAAAGTAATCATGTGATAACTTCGATACTGCAGCCTCTAAGAGAATGACATTATATGATGGACCAAAACCATAATAATCAATTTTGCTCTTTTGGAAGCAGAACTTCTACTTTTTTGGTGCGTTTAGTCTCTGTAAATCACCCCTTTTCATTAATCATTTCACCCCAAGCAAGGCAGTGCAGCCACTAAGACGCAAGGGGTTAAGGGTTAATGGACATGAAAGAACAAGAAAAAAGAGAAAAATTACTAAGGAGCAAGAGGAATCAAGAAGACAAATAGTTAACAAGCTCTTTTTTATTTATTTATAAACTAATAAATATTAATAAGAAAAAGAGTTAGATCCAGATTTACAAGAGCTTATAAAAAAAATGAAAAATAAAGGAACACCATAAAATAAAATGGCCAATCAGACAAATTAACACTAAAAGACTTTTGATGTTAGCTTTAACAAAGGTTTGCGCCAAAGTCAGCGAGCCTGGTCAAGTGTGAGAGATGAAACTATTAGCATAGTATTTACGGTGACATTTATCAATTTTGACACTCAAATAACGAGACTTAGCTGCTAATCTAGTACTACATTTATATTCATGAAGTCGAGGTACGAAAGTGGAAATTTCATCAGAATAATTACCATGAAAATATTTATAGAAAAGGCACAAGGAAGCTATATTGTTGTGGTGGAAAAGGGACTGCAGTTGAGATGCCAGGTCAGGACCAATAACATTGCAGATTCTTCTTTGTATTTTATCAAGAATCTCTAGATATATAGCAGAAGCACCTGGTGTAATGATTAGCAAGCTTGTCTTGCTAGAACAATTACGACTGAATAGGGAGTTCGATCCTCACTGGGTGTTCCACACTTTTAGCCTTGTGCCATATCTAAGCTACACCTAGAAAATAATTTAGGGCATCTCGAGACAGTGTAATGGTTAGCATACTTGTCTCGCAAGAACAATTACAACTGAGTAGTGAGTTCGATCCTCACTGGGTGCCCCATACTTTCAGCCTTGTGCCACATCTAAGCTACTCTTGGAAAATCACTATAACAGAAGCACTAGACCAGACCAGATCAGGCCAGACATGACAGTAATATTCAATATACAGACAAATGGTTACCTTATCAATGTGCAAGATAGATTAAAAATTGAATCAAACCAAAAGAGCTAAACTGGTTACTCTGCCATGTTTTGTCTACGAAAGAGCGTCTTTCCATTTCACTTAAGAGAGAGGGACGTATGTTACCATGATGCTTTTGTGGCATAAGCTGTGGGGCATGAACAGGTTTTGTTATTACCCACACATCAGCATCTGGGACACCACATATTAAACTAAACCATATGTCATATTTACGCTATATAGTGAAAGGGTGATAATTATAGTACAGTAAAAGTTACAGACAAAAAGTTACAAGCATATTTGGCATATTATATATGTATTTATTTGATAAACAATCTTACTATATGTATTTGTTCATTTTTTGTTAGGGTCCAGTTATAGGCAAGTAATGAACCTCCAAACAAAACAAAAAAACTATGTATAAAAATACAGTTTTATAGTAAAAATACCACCAATACTTTTTTTATATAAAAAAATTACCAACACTATATATTTATAGTACAATTAGTAACAATACATTTTATAGTAAAACGGCCAACAATATATTTTATCTGTACTTGAAGACATACAATTGCATTCAAAATGTATTCAGTTGAAGCCATAAAATTGTGTTCAAAATATTTAGATTCTGGCATTAAATAACCTGTATAGGTTGATATGCTGCTAAACAAACTCAACCAATCATTTTTTGTTTGTACTTTTTTTTATTAATGGGAGTTAACTCTAAAACTACACCTATTTTATGAAGGCCAACTCCTTGAAATAATTATGAAAACTATAAGTGAAGACCAACATGTGAAACCCTTTTAATGATAGTAAGAACTTAACAAAATGTTAATTTTGTTTACAAATATGCTGTCATTTTTTATGCCATTGGTAAACTACTAGTTTAATATTTAAAAGGATTTCTTTTTCTTTTGACCTTTTTAATTGATTATCAATTTCTGTAAAAACAAACGTTTTTCTTTTTTACATCTCAGCCTTGAAATTAATGGTGGACGACCTGTCATCCCACCCAGTAGAAGTAAGGGAGGTAAGCTATTCAGAATTCTTCAGTTTTATTAATGTTTATTCATTTTATTTACCTCCTAAAATGAGTTATTACTAATATTTATATTAGTAATATTACTATTAATATTGTAATAGTATTATAGGGGTGTGTGATTTAGGGGTTAAAATGAACAGTTAATTTACCCACACCTAGAAAGTTTAATGATGGATGAGAATGATGAGAAAACACAATGGTAATTTTAACATGTGGTGTGCTGTTTTAACATGTGGTGTGCTGGTTGATTTGTTTTAAAATTGTTAATGAGGTTGTTAGTGAGGCTGCGTTTTTAGTGAGAGCACATACATTTAAATTTGCAAAGAACACAAGGAAAGAAGAACAAGATATCAAATTGCATTCAACAATAAAATATATATTGAAAATCAACGAGTACAACAAGTGTGCTTATGTATTAATATTTAGGGAGAGAAAAGTAGCTTCCCTTGTACTGATATCTGATGCAAGATAGGAATAATGTACTTAAGAACTTTCTTGTTGAAATGTTCAGAGTTCAGTGAATAAGATTTGAATTCAAGAATGAAAAGTTTGTACAAAAAGGATAATAGAATTTGGTTTGTGACTTGGCTTGTGACAGAAAGTTAACAGTGTAGTGTAATTGTAGTTCTGTGACCGTGTGTGCGTGAGTAGAAGAATGTAGATACGCGTGCGTTGCTGATTTCTGTTGATTTATTGTTCTACTAACTTATTTCTGGAGTACGAACTGTTTAAATACTTTTGGGGTAGGCTCCAGAGAGAAGCGGGAAAATTATCGAAAGGAATATCTAAAATACACGATTGGATAAAAATTGACCTGTGGAATAATGTATTATTCCATCTACGACATTTTACGCGCGCGCGAGTTTCCTCCCTTTCTTTCACACTCGCGGGCGCGCACGCGCGTTTGACACCCCTTTCTCCCTCGTTCGGTCTAATACAGTAGTAACTGTTTTTGGTCACCAACCAAGCGACCTGCTATGCAAATTAGATTTTTGAAATCTTGCCGCGAAAAATTTGTGACGTCAACGACAAACTGTTGTTTCAGAAAAGTTCAGTTGTGATCCAGATTCGGACCTAAGCAGACTCATTTTTAGCCATGTCAATATTTTAGGTTGACTGACGAAGGATATCTTACGATGCCACACCAAATATTAATTCTGCGTCCCTTTTGGCTCGTCATTCAAAGTCCTTCTACGAGATGATGCATATACCAAATAATTAACTTTTCGGCCCTTTGTGACTCGTCATTCAAAGTCCTTCTACGAGATGATGCATATACCAAATAATTTACTTTCCGGCCCTTTGTGACTCGTCATTCAAAAGTCCTTCTCGAGACGATGCAGAACATACAAAATATTAATCCGTCGTCCCCTTTGGGTCTCGTCATAAATCTGTTTTGAACCAGTACCAAAAAAAGAAAAGAAATATGTACATAACATTCACTCACATTACCTAAAAACTCGCAGTGAGTATTTTTTCCTTGTATGAATATTATCATGTACATTGACTTAGCTGGAACCTTTCTTCAAGAACTTTTCCCGCCTTTAGCCATCTTATTTTCTACTTTTGGCGCGGAACCTTTTCATTGATCCCTACTACGGGATAATTTACTTGTTGTTCCTGCATTTAATAAAAATTACTCTTGTTGGAATCCAGTCTTGTTCTGTCATTCTGTGTCGGCTATCTTAATATATTTTATTTTATGCACGTGTGGATTAACCACATTTCTTCGTTGTTCATTCACGCATATTTTTATTTTTTTTACTTTGCTTGTAGACTCGGTAGTTTAGTGTGGTGTCTGGCACAAGGCCACTTAGTAATAAACCAGCACTGCACCCTACCGGGCCTGCAACAGACCAATCACTGATTTTTTTACAAAACCAAGTTAGGCAAAGTCATGGCAAAAAATTTTGTGTGATTACTGCGATAGGTAAATTGTCCTGTAATAAACAGTACTTATTTTCTATCCAATTATAACTGAGTATTTTGTGGGTGTGGTAAATCGGAGTAGTCACTACAAACAGAACAATATAAGAAATTTATTTACAAATTTATACGCTTGAAGTAGTGTCAGTGGATCATTTCAGGAAAATAAATCAGAATTTTTAAAATCTATAGATTTAACGTGTTATGGTGTGATTAGTAGTTGGGTTGATCAAACTAAATGCGGCTGCGTGTTTCAAGATAATCAACACCCATACATTAAATTTAAACATCAAAGAAAAAAATCAAGCTCAGTGAACATTAATAATATATTGTATTATTAACAGTGGTATACAAATTTCAACAATAAGTACAAAGAAAGTTGCTTCCCTTTTTCCGTAATAAAAAAGGGTAAGTTTAGCTAAAATGTTGAGTACAAAATTGAATGTAATTTAACTACAAAGTTCAATTGAAGTCTTAGCTAAATACAGAATAGTTCCACAGTGTTTTATCAGTGTAGAAAGATGTAATGTTCATGAGTGATATCAACAGGAATTAGTATGATTACTCGAATGAGTAATAATTAAGAATTAAAATGTCAATATAGCGCCGTGCCTTATTTTCCAAGAATTTAACTGCAACTGGTCTTTGGTTGATAGCGAAATTCTTTTATATCGATGGGTAGGCTCCGGATAGCTTAGCGCCAGAATATAGAAAAGATACTAAAATACGCGATTGGTCAGGAAATGGACCAATCCGTGATTTTAGAGAAAAATTTGAATTACTTGCGATGGTTAAATTGTCCTATAATAAGTATCATGTATTTGTTAACCAATGAGAATTGGAGAAAATGTAGGCGTGGCACTACAAACGTATTATCACAAAGAGGAAATTTTCATACAACAGATTAAATGATCTGACACAAAAAATGTTTAAAACAAAGGCAAGAGAGATCGTTGCTCACCGAAGGGACATATGGTTTGCATACATTTAGAAGTAAATGAACAGCGATAGTTTGAAATACTTAGCTTTCTTGGATTGCTGAGAAAAAATTCTTTGAAGTGCCGTGTGCTTGGTTAAAAGCCAATAATACAATTGATGAGTAATTTTACACAGGTGAGTACTTCAATGAGGAACTGAAATGTAACCTTTCACATGACTGCATACATTCTACTGATTAATTTAATTTTTCTCCTCATTTTATATCAAAAAGAATTTTGTATAGGTTCCCTACTGTCTTTCCTTTTTCTTGGTTCACTGGACAATTTCTGTGAAGGAAAGTTTTTCATTGGTTCCAAAACAATTTCACATATGCTCGTGAATTTCTTCCTGTCTTCTTCCTCAGATCACTTTTAATTTCTGTGAAATGCAAAAATCTCACATAGGCTCGCAAATTTTTTTCCTTCTTCTTCCTCAATGGGTGAAGGGAGTTATTATTATTTCGTACTCACTACAGTATTAACAGGTTGCAAAACATACCAAGTGTAATAATCATGTTCTTTGACACAGCATCTACTGATGAAATATTTAATTCTTTTTTGTCAGCTGCTGATTGTCATCTTTGTGGTAAGATCATTGATACAATCTGTAGTTTTTTGATTGTTGAGTTCTTATTTTTTTTAGAATTTTGGTCAGAGAGAGAATGATACTTTTGTTGCGGACTGGTGATTGTGTTTAAATTGATCAGAAGGAATTTCGAGGCCGTGTTCTACGACATTCGTCCACAACAATTATTTAGAACAAATACTCGGAACAAATCATTCAAATAAAGTTGAAAACAAGACAACAGTCGAATGCATAACAATAACATCAATTTATATACAATTTATACAAATATTCAAAGTTGCGTACCTTTATCTGCTTGAGAAAAATGGATTGTTAGTTACTGATACTTGTTATGTAGTGAGAAATATCACATCGAAAAGTATAGTAAGTGAAGTTCGAGAAAATGTTCTAGAGAGAGATAGAGTGTGCTTGAAGGTTACCGAGTCAGTGAATATTTTAACGCGACAAAGTCAGAGTTTAGACTGGCGTGGAGTTGATGGGCTTCTCTCTAGGTGAAGAGGTCTGACTGTCTAAAGTTGGTAATTGTCTTTAACGTCTGGTCAGCAATGACTAAGACGGGAGTCGGTGAAGGTTACATCTTGAAACTTGGTAATTATTACTCCGAAGGTTCACACGTGTTCGGTTTTTTATAATCGCTGAGTGGCTCCCAGCATATGAGCGGGAAAACAGATTGGTCACGTGCAGGCGGTTTGATTGGTCGGAACTGACCAATCAGCAAGCCAGATTGGAGGGGATTGACCAATGAATACTTGTTATATTGTCTGAAAGTAGAATTTGGCTTACCAGATAGGAAGAGTGCATTTCCTACAAAGAGGTAAGGCTGGTTGTGTTGTGGGAGATTCTATACTTTGAAAAAAAAAGATGAGATTTCTTCCTTGGTCAAATTGTTTTATCACCAAATGAAAATAAAAACTGACAGTTATATTTTTGTCGATACTGACACTGTAAAACTAATTCATGTCTATCAATTGTAAATTTTTATATAATGACAAAGTCGATCGAGAAAAGGCTTGGTGCAGCAAAAGCATTTATTTTTGCTTTTCATGTCAATTTCTGATCGATTAATGTAGTAGTCTGCCTTTTAAATAAAATTATTTTGAAACTGTCCTGACCCCGCTATATCATGGAAACATTTATCCCAATTTACACAAGATGAAGGATAGTACTCACTAAGACCTACTAAGTTAATTTGCTTGAAGCCATTTTTAATCATTGATCTGAGAAAACAGTTGTATACAGCTGATAATTTGAACTCGTGGTTCACAAAGGACACATGTGCCACGGGCGAGGGTGAATTTAATTTTTAAGAGGGGGGATTCGAGAATGAGTTACTAACAGTTAATTTTTTCTAGTGAGTTTGTGTGAGTATGAGTGTGTGTGAGTTAATACATACGGTGCATATAAAAAGTATGCATACATAAAAAATATTTGTATGTATGTACATGAATAATTATGTATGTACTGTATAATATATATATATATATATATATATATATATATATATATATATATATATATATATATATATATATATTAGTATCACAATATTTTTATAAATATTGTAAAATTCTAAAATGAAATGATAATACTATTGCATATATGCAGTATCAAGTTATTAAGGAAAATTAATTTAATGGCATTTTAGGCTTCCTCCTTGTAAATAGGAGTTCACTTTTTGAATAATAAGAATTATATGTTATGGACGGGGGAATCAGGATTTTAGAGATGCTTCGGTGGGGCATGGCCAGCAAGGATTGGGAGCCACTGGTTTAGACATTTTGGAATAAGGTGGATGCTATGTATGACATCCGTATGAGAGTCTAGATTTGATGAGGCTATTTAAGAACTCGAGTTCTTAGGTTGATATTTTGGTTTTGTAGCAACTTGCGGTGTTGGACAAAACTTGCCATAGAACAATCAAGTCAAACAATAGTTTCCAGCATTTTTAGGCAGATAAATTAATAAGCGGAAGAGACCATATAGAATTAGCCAGACAGCAGTTCCGTCTTAATTGTTATGGTGAGATGAGCCGTTTCCATTCAGGAAACATCTGTGATTCATTGACTGAACAGTTAGTGTTACTTTGAGTTGAAATTTATAAAATCATTCTTTTAAAACAGTTGTTCAGAAAATTAGACTTCTTAAGTCGATTAATTGTTATCACTTTTGCTCGTATTGATGGGAGTTTCCAGCCTAACCTTTTGTTTATCATAGTGTGGAAAGTCGACATCTTGATTATATCATTATTTTCCATATTAGTTACATCTGCCATCCATTTTGCTGCTGTTAGAAGTCTTCGAGTGATGTAAGAGTGATGTAGGATATCTTTGTTATTTGGTACAGTTCTTTGTGATTCTGTCGTGCCACTCTATAAGGTCTAATGAAGTATTGCCTTCTTTAATACAGAACATTTATTTCATTGGAACCATTTTTAATCATTGATCTGTGGAAATGGTTGTATATAGCAGATAGTTTAGACATTTCTGAGTGAATTGAATGCCATGCAGATCCATATAAGAGTCTAGATTCGATGAGCCTATTCAAGACTCGAGTTCTTGGGTTAATGTTTTGGTTTTCTAGTATTTTGCAGTGTTGGACAAAAGTTACCATAGAACAGCTTATTCTATGCTTGATTTACTTACCTCCTATACTAAATTGCAGTAGACCTACAAGATTTATATTTGGATTATTGTCCTCAGCTTTGTTGTTTTTATCACAACATTTCGGTCGTTTTACCCTTCAGCCTTCCTCAGGTGTATATCGATCTGGTTAATAAGCGAGTGGGTAAGTGTTGGTTTGTGAATTTGGTGACGTAGTGGTTGTGAGTTCAATATATATTTCTAAAGTAGTGTAGAAAGTCAACATCTCGTCATTATTTTCTCTTCAAATTACATGTGCTATCCATTTTAGTTGTTGATGCTGTTGGAAGTCTTCAAGTGATGTTGTTTTTACTATTTGGTACAGTACTTTGTAATTTTGTAGTGCCAGTCTATAGGGTCTGACAAAGGACAGTCTTCTTTAAGACCTAAAGGATTCATTCACTTGAAGCTATTTGATATGGGTTATATAGTTATATATCACTGATTGTTTAGACATTTTTGAATGAGTTGGATACCATGTATGACATCCATACAAGAATCTAGATTTGATGAGCCTATTTAAGAACATTACTCGAATTCTTTGGTTAATGTTTTGGTTTTCTAGCATTTTGCAATGTTGGACAAAACCAATAAGATGAAGACAGAAAAAAATATTTAATTTTGGGATTCAAATAATCAATCGATGTATGTCAAGAAAACTTATTTTCATCTGGCGAACAAAACAACTTTCCTGCAATATTTTTAGTTTTTGTCTCAGAATTTCTACCACTTGTCTTTGTTCATCTTGGAAGAAAGAAAAAATGGCGACGTTTTTATTGATTATCATTTCATTAAATCTCTTTCAAGTTTTCCCTCTTGTAATTTAATTTTCTCTTTCAGCGTTTTCCCGATCGCTGACTTCAACAGGCAGTCATCATCGACATGTCAGTGCACAGGGCTATAAAACCAAACAGCCTCGTTCAAAATCTGCCTCGGCTTTGATGCACACTGCAACTTCCAGCAAAACCTGGCTCAACAGCTCCAAGATGCCAACATTCCAAAGATCAAAAACAGTGCATGAAGAAATATTTCCTGCCTAACAAAATGTTCAGATAAAATTTGATGAAAACGAAGTATGTACGTAGATAGATGCTAGAGTAAGACAGAAAAGAGGAAGCTGTCTGAAGTTATGAGATGGAATATGATACTGTTATTCTGCTTGGTTTTAGGTATGACTGTTACGCATTGCAAATATGACCAGACTTGATGACCATCGTTCAACTGGCACCATGAAAGTGTCTGTCAACAGAGTATATCAACAACATCATGTCTTAATATTTATCCTTTCTTTCTTTCTTTCTTTCTTTCTTTCTTTCTTTCTTTCTTTCTTTCTTTCTTTCTAACTTATTTTTTAGTAATTTTCTTTATTAATTTTTTATTTAAATGTATTTTGTTTAATTCATACATATAAAATGCAATATATATATAAATATATATATATATATATATATATGTGTGTGTGTGTGTGTGTGTTTAGTACGTTGAGTCATAGCCCATTTGGCATCGTTGATTCGGCATTGCTGATTCAACATCGTTGATTCGGCGTCAGAAAAATAATTGGACTATTCGGCATAGGCGTTTAGGCGTCAGGCAGTTTCAACATCACTGACGTTGATATTGTATTTAAAAAAAATTAAAAAAATATTAGTAAAGCTAGTTAATCTTAAAAATTACTTCAACATTTCGTAATTATGAGCAACACCCTTCAGGAAGTCAGTAGGATCTAATGATTCAACTTCCATTATGACATTTTTGATTCGTTCGTCCGCATCTCTGTATTTTTTTTACCTTTTTGATATATATATATATATATATATATATATATATATATATATATGACTATAATGACGAAATAGTAATCTGGCGCCGGATTATCCCTCACCTGAAAATTTCCTATGTCGAATCGGTGACGATGCCAACCAACTACGCCAAAACGGGCCCATTTCGTGTATACGTATATATATATATATATATATATATATATATATATATATATATATATATATATATATATATATTTTGTGTACAACAAATTTTACAGACCACGCAGATACTACACTCTGATCCTTGGTAAATGGTCTGGGGAGAAGCACATTGATCCTGTAGTAGAATTTCCTATGTTGATAGGATATATTTGGTGAAAAAATAGCTTAGTAATATTAGGTCAATAGAATTGTTGATGCACGTGACTTTTTTCAAGTAAGAAAATATAAGAATGAATATGAAAACCATTAAAATTACATTTTATTGCCTTAGCAAACCAAATAGAAATAATCTAATAGGGGCCAAATACAAAGTGTTTGCATATGGAGATGTCCGTTTTGGTATATGCACTATAGGCTAAAGGTTTAGAGTCACACTCGGGATTTCAAAGAATCTCCTAAGAATTGATGGTTGCATGCTTATTTCAAAACTAATTTACTAGCTCACTTCAGTTCCTTGGCAGACATGAATGTGCGTGTACTGTAATGAATAGCAGGGGATTCGGAATGACAAATGAGAAAGCTGAGTTTGAGTTCAAGTCAGGTTTGTTAGATTAATGTATAGACAAATACCATTTGGAGAAGTATGAATCCATTTTCTCACCCCACCCAGATATGGTTTAATAGCAGGATTTGTATCTGGAAAAAATCATTGTTATTCTAAAAACAAAAAAACAAAATGTATATCTAATAATAATGATAGTAATAACAACAACAAAACCAACCTCTTACTGCATAAAGTTACCTTAAAATTTTAGCTTTTTTTGCCTAATCTATCTTGGTTAATAATAATCTCCGGGCTGACAGATTTTAAATTTTAGGTATCCCCTCTCTAAAAAAATTGGACGCCATGCACTAATTGGTCAAATGGTTTCAGAATCCTAGCTTAGTAAGAGTTAATTAAAGCAAAGAAGTTGTGAAACTTACTAATTATTAAATCCTGAAGCTGACCCCAAACTTTTTGCCTATAGTTAAATAAGCTTAGAAAATTGTATGTCGTGTAGTTTTTGTGTTCTTTTCCCACTTAGAAGGCCTGTCGATTCAGATTCGTTAGATGTTAGATTCATGTATACACAAACAGCATTGGGAGAAGCATGAATTCATTTTCTCCCCCAAGCTATGGGTTAGCTAGTAGGATTTCTATCTGGAAAAATCATTTTTATTCTTAAAAATTGTTAACGTAATATACACTCGCCCACCCAATTATTATTATTACAATCCAAAATATGTTCTGGCTTTAAATAACCTACAAAATGTTGGCAAGCTGAAAAAAAAACAAGAATCAAGCCTTAGCAGGCAATTGGTGTAATCCTAGATAAAAGGTCTGTGGAGCAATACTTTGAGCCTAGTCAGTGCGCACAGATACAGACAAAAGTGCAGGTTCATGCATAAATGATTACATCATTTTTTCACAGACACTTTACAAGTATACGTATACTGGCTTTATTCTCTCACTAATTAAGGAAAAGCCTATGCTAGAGTCGTGATAGTACTTTCGTTATCACTCGTAGAATATCGACTGGTCCAATTAATCTTCATTATTCTGTGAATTATTGGAATTTAAAATAGTCAATAAGAAAAAAAGACAAATCGAGCAAAGGAAGAAATGGGGAGGCTAAATGGTTAAAGAAAGGACCAATTACTGCCTTCGTAAAGTGACACGCGACCCTGACTATTTAAGCACCAAATTCCTTCCACCTCATTAATCAGACAGCACAAAGCAACGTTTTTCCCTCACCGCAACCTGGTTAGTAAGTGCTATCAAGTTACGGGGAAATAGGGCTAGTAACCTCAAGAGAATTTACTATTTTTTTTAATCAAGTTCATCCCAAGCAAGACAGTAAAGCTACAGAAACGCAAGGGTTTACTGGGTATGGAAGAGTTAGAAACAGGAACATTGCTCAGGAGCAGAAGAGTATGTGTATGTATTTCTCTATAGGTGTATATGTGTAGATATGGGAATATTCATATGATTTATGTGTAGATATGTGTGCATGTGTATATATGGATTCATAGGTATATAGGGAGATATAGATAGATGTAGATATAGATAGGGGTTAGGATATGTGTAGAGGTGTGTATGTGTATGGATTGTAAAAGAAGGACCTAATTTTCTCTTAGTAGTGTTTTATCCGAATTTCTCCTCTAGGACTCTCCAATTGGAAGTGAGTTTAAATAATACGGAGGTAAATTTTAAATTGGTAATTTAATTTGAATGGAAATATATTACCCTTTAATAATCATTATTGATGATAAAATTATTTAAATTGGAAGAACCTTTGGTAATAATTAGGTAGGTATCTAAAAACAGTCACGAGTTCAATTTATGAACAAGACTCAAACGAATAGATGTCAACTGAATAATCAACAAGAAAAAAGTATGTGTACGAATATATAGAATATTGTAAAAGAAGAAGGACCTAATTTTCTGTTAGTAATCTTTTATCCAATTCTCTCCTCTAATATTCTCCAATTGGAAGTGAGTTTAAATAAATAATACGGAGGTAAATTTTTAAATTGATAATTTAATTTAAATTGAAATATATTACCCTTTAATAATCATTATTGATGATAAAATTATTTGAATTGGAATAAACCTTGATAATTAGGTATCTAAAAACAGTAATAAATTTAATTTATGAACAAGACTCAAACGAATAGATGTCAACTTAAAAAGCTATAAGAAAAAAGTTTAGGAAAATAAAAAGGATTACTAGATATAAAATGGATTAATCTTTCAATGTACTTTCTATGATTTTTCCAATCGACTATTTCATAGAAAATACCCAAAACTCTAACAAACTTCAAATTAAATTCGTCGTAGATTTCTTAGACATTTAGATTTATATCAAACTCTAACCCCCAAAGATACCCTTTAAAAGTAATGCGAAATAACAGCATCTAAGAAGATGAGTGAATCCTGATTTATTATTTTATTGTTAACTGTATCTTCCACCTTTAAGTCGGTCCTCTCCCTTACCCATCTATATCTAGATAGCATGCGTTAAGTTAAGCGACGTCTAGCCTACACAGAGTGGGGTTAAGGATAAGGAATTGAAAATGGTACATCTAACTCACTCATATCTTCTCTCCCACCTCACTTCCTCACTTCGTTAATTTCATATACGCTTGGTGCGGTCCGTCAAAAATGTGTAAGTTTCTTTTCATTTTTCATTTCAACTTTTGGAAGTAAAATCTGATGATCCAGAGCCCTGTAAAAGGGTTGTGGTGAAATAAATTATTACATGGAACCTTAAAGTGATCTGTTTTTATTCACACACACACACACACACACACACACACACACACACACACACACACACATATATATATATATATATATTAAAGAAAAACAGGCCACTTTAAGGCTCCCTTGTAATAGTTTATATCACAGAGACCTTTTAAAGGACGCTGGATCATCAGACATCACTTCCAAAAGGTGAAACGAAAAATGAAATGAAAATTTACACTTTTGACGGGTAGCATTAAGTTTATGTAATTCAACAGAGAGGGTAGCGAGGAGTGGTGTGAGAGACATGGTTGAGTTTAGAGAGGGTTTGTTTTAATATTTCTTTCTATTATGCTTAGTATTGAGGAAGGAGGGACCAGACATTGACCTATTTAATCGGTTAACTTAACGGAAATGATACGTTGAAATGGAAGGAGAGAAGAGAGAAAAAAAAAAAAAAAAAAAAAAAGAAGGGGGAAGTAAAGAGAAAGAAGATGTATTTAGGGTTTACGGAGGGAGAAGAAGGGTGGTATAGCTTTAGCAATTTAGGTAAAAAAACAGATTTTAACGTTTGATAGTAATTTAAATGTTTAAAAAATCCACGAAGAAATTAATTTGATGCTAGCTAGCAATTTCAATATTTGACTCTTTTACAAATAATTTAGGGATTTAATATGAGTTAAATATTTTTAAAATATTTTTTTTTAATCTGTTTTTTACTAATATGTTTTTAAACATAGTAATATTTAAAAACATATTAATAAAAAACACATTAAAAATATTTAAAATATAAAAGTTTACTGATAGTAATCTTTTAATATTGTAAATTACTGTTCAGGTAACATCTTTATCAGTTTGAGTCTAATTCATGAATGTAATTTGTAACTATTTTTAGATGGATAATTTTTCTTACTTAAAGTATATATATATATATATATATATATATATATATATATATATATATTGCCTTTTACAGTTGCAACTTTTTGACTTATTACTGGATAAGCTTATCTAAGGACCACAGTCATGAAGTTCACAGCTGCGATGGAATTGGAATCAGAACCCAGTTTCTGATTATCAAGCTTTGTCAGAGGCAACTGGTGGAATCTTGACTTCGAATAAAGTCTTTACA